TGTAGACATTAAGTTTTACACATTCAAATGTGGCTGCACTAGCGCTAATGGAGCGAGCGACCACTACGGTACGGGAAGGAACGGATCTTAGCGAAGCCGAGATTTGTGAACCAAACAAACCCAACCCATCGAAGACGGGCCGCCAAACATAAAAATGGCCATGGAGGGAAATGACAGACAACAAGCCAACAAAGACAACATCACCAGACCAACAAACTTGGAAAACACCACTTCAAGCGCTAACGTTGTAAGAACTGTGGAACCTCAAACTAGTATGTTTGCGTCAGCGGAAAGGCTGTCGAAGTAACCACTACATAAAAAAACTGCGGCGAAAAAGTAACATGGGTTCGTCCCAAATCTAGACGCAAGTGAGCTACAAAAGAAATAGAACCTATGCAACTTGCTTGTTGCTGTCAACTTACCCGTTAAAGATTGAACCAAGGACATTATACAGGACAATGTCTCTGATTGAACCGATACATGTACGTACTATAACTTGCCATACCCGGCCAAAGACGACTACATTACTGTTACTCTTTATTTTGTGCTGTATAATGTATATGCGTTACATTATCTATCATTGTCATTTCTGTGAATTCCTTAAAACATCTACTGTTAGTTTGTGTAACATTACGTAGTGCTACAATCTGCGTAAAAAGTGGGCTTCATTACGTGTTATCTGCTAAGTCGTGTTGGTATTGAAAACTGTTTTATTTTGCCGTTCTTCTACAAACAGCCAGCAGAATTATGAAGATACTCGTTCTCAATACACATGCTGCAAACTAAAGTAATGGCAGTCCTACGAAAATTCTGTTTTAATGTATAAGCGCTTTATGTCGACGTACAATGGGTGTGAAATACATGTTTTCGCCCATCGTGTGCCACCGGCCCGGTGGTAATTGGCTACTTTACAAGTGAAAGAACCGCGTCCGTGGGCCTTAATAAATTATTCAAATTATTCAGCAGCCCTCTGATTGGTCCCCGCTAGAAATTTACTGGATGTCATTCAGTGACGACGCCCCCCCCCCCCCTTCCATACTTTTCCTCTGAACACGTGTTAGCCAAGGAGATTTCAAAATTTACTAGAAAGGCCGACATTTGCTTTGGGGCAAATTCAGCATGGCTTCACCACATTTTGCGACATGGCAGGGAAAGCAGAAATACAAGGGAAAACTATGCTTTATATTGATATAACTAAAGTATGACATATAACTAAGAAATTATGCAACAGTTGCGTAGCTATCCCCTACATAATTTATTGGGTAGGATTTTTAATTGCATAATGCAAACTGTTGATTTTCAAGATAAAAAGAAGCGTTTATGCCCTGCATTCCAATGCTGGAGCAGGAAAGCTTGACATACCTACCAAAACACTTGAATGCAGTTCACACTGTCAAGTAATTGAGTTAACCCAATCAAATCCCAACGGCCAATCAGCAAGAAGAATAGAGGAAGCGCAGCGCCATATCTCGCCTATTCAAAGATACTGGTAATGGCATTATACAGGTATTTACAATGTACAATATACAATGTATTGTGATAGATCATGGAATCTTGCATCTTGTATAAATTATATATGTGTTTCATACCACCACAGATCCAAAGTCTGCGGACCTTGGAGAATCTCCACGTGGTTGTAGCAGACTTTGAGAAGGAGGGTCTGTCAACAGACACTGACAAGGTAATATCTTGTAGATTGTGAGACTTAAATGTTGCCAATACTTACCATCGTTTTAGAGTAGACTGTTCTCTCACTTCTCTGTAAATCATAAGATAAATGGCAATGATCTTATTAACTTTACATAATTGCTTCCTGTGTACATTTTATTATAGCAAAAGAGCAGGCACCAAGATACTGTAACTCACTTTATATTTGCAGTAGTTTTATATTCGCAGCTTCCACGGTCACTTCTGTACCACAACCTTATCATTACTGTGAAGAAATAATTTGCCGACTTTCTTTTTGCTGCACCTGCCGCTACTGTGAACATATAAATTTGCAAACATGGCCATTTTTCTCAGACCGGGAACTGTTGCTATCATGAACATAAGTGATTTACAGTACACTTGATATTATCGTTCCCTGTGTAAATTTTATGACATCAAAATAGCAGGCACCCATTACCCATATATGTTCTTTTACTGTACCTTTCCACAGGATGCAGTACTTACACACTTCTACCAGCTTGCAAAGACCTTTGACTGGGGTCCTCCAGTGTGTGCCTGGAAAACCTTCACAGGCACCTTCCCACATGAGCCAGGTCCTCCCAGGAAGAAGCAAAAAGTCAAGGAGTCCTTCAAAGACACGGCCAAGATGCTGGAGAGATACGACAACATCATCTCGAGAGAGTTGATGGACAGACAAGACAATGAAGAAGATGCAGAATCGTTAGTACCACCAGAGGCTCTGTCCGACTCTTCTTCCACAACCAAAGTAGCAGTCCTGAAAGAAGGAATCTCTGAAACTGCAATTTTACCACCACAGGAAGATGTACAAACTAGCAGTGATGTTCAGAACGAAGTCACTAAGGTCGAGGAAGACACGTCTTCTCCTTGTAGAGATCCTTCAAGTGATGGCCAAGATAAGAGCACAAGCGCTGTACCTCCAGAAGCTGAAAACCATGGCCCGCTGAAGCCTAAGTTCCGAGTAACCTGCAACCGAGGAGGCGCCAAGCACTGCTTCACGTCCATGGACGCCGCGCGGTACTTCGGCGGAGGGATCAACGACGACTTGCGCTGGCCCGTGGACCTGACTAAGTTCGACATCGAGGTGGTGTTGAACATCTACGGTGACCAGGTGACAGTGATGATAGCCCTGACTAAGGAGAGTCTACACAGGAGGAACATACAACACTTTGGACCAACTACTCTCAGGTCCACTATTGTATACAGTATGCTCAGGTTAGTGTCTTAACTTTATCTCATTGGCTAACGAAAAAAGGAAAAAAAGTGTCTCAACTTTATCTCATTGGCTAACGAAAAAAGGAAAAAAAGTGTCTCAACTTTATCTCATTGGCTAACGAAAAAAGGAAAAAAAGTGTCTCAACTTTATCTCATTGGCTAACAAAAAAAAGGAAAAAAAAGTGTCTCAACTTTATCTCATTGACTAACGAAAAAAGGGTCTCAATTTTATCTTATTGGCTAACAAAAAAAGGAAAAAAAGCGTCTCAACTTTATCTCATTGGCTAACAATGAAAAAAAGGAAAAAAAGAGGGTGGCACTAGCCTCTATTAGGCTTCAGAAAGCAGCTGGAAAGCATGGCAAACTGTTCCCTGGTATGGAATGATTTGTTCAAAAGAAAAAAAAATTAAGTAGCCATTGATATAACTTTGTAATCATCTGGCTTAAATGTGTTAACTAAGGCCACACCAATTTAATTTCTTGGTTAACGGATTCACCGCTTCGTTTTTTTCTGATTTGCAAATAAAAATAAAAATTTAGAATCAACTGCAAAATGCTCATATTTTGCCCTGAACAGTTGAAAACAGTCCTTATCTTCCTAGTTATTACAGTTATTCCATCTTTCAATGCAGTGCTACCATTAAAAGTTCAAAATTCATTGTTTAAATTTTGAACCTGCCTGGTGTGTTGACTTCATGGCTCCTATCGTACCATTTTGGGCCATAAGAGGATGCCTATGCCTGCTTTTATTTTTTATTTTTTTCGCCCACCCGCTCCATTATTTTTCTAGAAAAATCCGTTAACCAAGAAATTAAATTGGTGTGGCCTAAAGAATGATTTGAAAGTGTTTAAAAGTTTAACTTGTCTTCCTGATTTTGCAGGATAGCCAATGTACAGCCTGGAGAAGTTATTTGTGACCCGATGTGTGGAAGTGGGGCTATCTCTATCGAGGTGAATAAGGCTAGAGGCTCGGCATAATACCTTGCCTGTAATCTTACTGCTCTTTTATTCTTCATTGGGCACACTGGACAGAAAGTTTTTTTATTACCTCCAGGGAAGGAGACATCATGATTCATTTTGTCAATTTCACTCCAAATGACCTATCTCACCATGTTAACCAACTGTGTGAAGTTAATAGCCAGTTTGTTCATACATGTACAATGTAGGGTGGTCTAGAGTACCGACAGTGTCTGCACCTGTCAGGAGACAACCATGAGTGTGCCTGTCCTCGCACCAGGGCTAACATCGCTACTATTAACAACCAGAGGAGGAGGAAGGGACAGTAAGTCATGACAGTCTTAAAGGCTTCCAATGCGATTTCAGGCTGGCAAAACTGGACATATTCTGAAAATAAGTCAATCTTTAAATGTTATTACCATCTATACTGGCCCATGTTAGCACATTTGCACTCAGTATTTCATACTTGGGGCATTTAAAACAGCACAGAAACAAGAAGCAAGATGTTATTTTTGTACTGATAGGTATGTTTAAAGTTAAAAAATTTGATCCAACACAAAGAATGGTTCTCACCTAGAGCCTTTGACCAGTCACTCTGGTCTTCCTCAGTAGACTGACCCAGTGAGACTTGTCACATTCGATCTCTGAAGCCTAAATAGGTACATTGTACTTCGGTGCGTACTTTTGTAATCTCCAAGCAGTGAGGCAAGTGGAGTCTTTATTGGCCAACTGTAGTATGTGTAATGTTACATGTTTTGGCCTCTTCCTGAGCAGCTAATGGTTACAAGAGGCCAATTGATACAGGCAGCCAATATAGACTCCCCTTGCACCATAGCATCTTCTTGGAGGTTATTACTTCTGTGATGGAACTCTATGATAGTTTTGCTTGTAGTCTATGTACTACAAGCTTCCTTTCATACTGTACATGTTGTATTCTCCAGAGGAGTCCTGCCTGTAGACACCCTGAGGTGGGATGTAGGGAACCTCCCACTCAGGACTGAGTCTGTGGACGTCTTCATAACTGACATGGTCAGTGCTGGGTTATATGTATAGCTTTGAGATTTTAAAATGTTAGCCTGAAACTTCATCTTTGTTGTATTTATGTTTACGGAAGGAAAACATATTGTTTTTGCTCTGTTTCCTCTTATTGGAATAGTAATGTTGTATTTTTTTTCTACATCCATGCACCTGTTTGTGACAGCCATTTGGAAAACGGTGAGCAGTTTTATCTTCATTTTACCATGAAACAGACTTGCCCTTGATATCCATAGTAGCTATAGAGTTTCCAATGAATAATGTTGATGTTTTCCATCTATCAATGCAGTGATTTGATTGAAAGTTCAAAATTCATTGTTTAAACATTAACCCAGCCTTTTGTGTTGACTTCATGGCTCGGAGCCTCCTATTGTAGCATTTGGAGCTATAATAGGATGCCTAGACTTGTTTTTATTTTTTTTTTGTCCTCTCGCTTCAGATTTTTTCTGAAGAAAAAAATCCAAGAACCAACGAATTAAATTGGTTTGGCTTAAAGTTTATTCATTGAGGAAGAGTACTGATTGTTTGATTGACCTGTTTTCCGACAGACATGGTTCTAAGCAGGGGAACTGGGAGCTGTACCGGAGGACAGTCCGTGACATGGCCAGGGTCTGTCGTTTCCCTACAGGCAGGGCTGTACTCCTCACAGAGGACAAGAAATGTCTGAACAAGGTTGGTCCAGGGACTGCACATACTGTAAATTACATTTTTTTCACAGTACTTCCGCAGCCACTTCTGTACCGCGAAGTTATCATAACCGTGAACAAATAATTTGCCAACTTTCTTTTGCTGCACCTGCCACCACCGCGAATATATAGTTCCACAAACATGTCCATTTTTCTCAGACCACAAGATTTTGCTACTGCAAATATAAAGTGATTTACAGTATTCTTATGTGTTACATGTTCATTTGAACCACAGATTGAACTGACCAGTGCTCTAGCCAGCCCAGAGTTTTTTTTCTGTCATCTCAATTTTGTTTGATGAGCACCAAACAGAACAGCTGGGGTCCAGAGACAAGCTTCCCCATGAAAATTTGAAATTTTGAATCTCTTAAATACTGTTTCCTGCATTTTGCTGGTAGAATAAGCTTATTTTATTGACATCTCTTTCCATCTCTTTACATGCTGATTTTTATCCGTATGGTCTCAAAAACGCTATAGGACTAACTTTGCCTTCACCTATCTGTAGTATTCTTATTTCTATTTATTTGTTTTTTTAGGTATTAGCCGAGTATGACTCCTTGTGGAACAAGAAGTTGGTGCTTTTCATCAAGATGGGAGGACTGGACGCCGCCATCTACCAGCTGAAGCGGACCAACAATCCCTTCCCAAAGTTCCTAGAGCACGAACTACTCTCCAGCAAACGGAAACAGAAGAAGATGGGGATACCCAGGAGTGAGAGGGTGGGGGAGCCAATCACAGAACAGCCTACTCAGGGGGAGCCAATCACAGAACAGCCTACCCAGGGGGAGCCAATCACAGAACAGCCTACCCAGGGAGAGCCAATCACAGAACAGCCTACCCAGGATTGAGAGGGCAGGAGAGCCAATCACAGAACAGCCTAGCCAGGAATGAGAGGGTGGGAGAGCCAATCACAGAACAGCCTACCCAGGAATGAGAGGGTCGGAGAGCCAATCAGAGAACAGCCTACCCAGGAATGATATTGTGCAAGAGCCAATCAGGGGTGGAGATGGAAGAGGCTTTGGGAAAACTCACTGGGGAGGCTTCTAATAGCAAATATATGTCAAACACATCTACACAGCAATAAAGGGAATGATTTCCTTTTTGCTGTCATTCTCATAATTGTCAACTGTAGAGTTAACAATACATGCATCTGCTACATAATCCCATGTACATGTATGTTTTAGTACATCTACAAGCAGATGTTGCAGTATAATTCAAGTAATGGAAAATAGTGCCATCATATCTTGCCATTGTGATTACTGTATTTGGTAATGATATAATGTAAAAATGAGTATTTTTGTGTTTTTTAATTCTAATATCGATTTTAAGTCAGGTTTCCACATTCTGATTATTTTCCAGATTAGAGAAGAAAAATGCACATAATCACATGCAGTCAAAAATGATTTTTGCATTTGTCTCTTTAATTCAAAACTTATTAAATAAGAAGTGTATACACAAGTAGCAGCATCAGCACATAAAAATGTATATGGTACACATTGCACAAATTTAGAAATATACAAAATGCGTATGATACAGCATCTAATATAACAATTTTATGAACAGTTTGGCTGAACAATAGCTTGTAACTAGCCTGGGTACCATCCGGATTTTCGCTCCGCAATGCTCGAAAAAAATTTTCGAAACCGTCAAAAGCTCTAGGTGAGAACAATTCTTTGTGTTGGATTAAAGGTTTAAACTTTAAACAGGTACCAGATATTACATAGTTTAACATCACACCACGATGAGTCTTACAGCAGAGTTTTCCTATTACGTCATCGAGACTGTCGGGACTTTCCTGTGACAATTCATGATGACGTATTCGGGACTTCCGCCTTTCCAGAGAACACCTCGAACTGTTGTAAAGGTGTGACGCATTGTGTGCGTGAAATGAAAAAACTAAACCTTGAAATTTTTTTTGTTTATACGATAAAACTAGTCAAGATGTGAAACCTAGCCAAATTTCAGCATTGGAGTTGTGTATTGACTGAAAGCAGTCACCTTGGGTCCCATCCTACTTGTAATGTTACATCCTAGATTTTCGTTTTCTTCTCATAACGATTGAATCGCTCAAACTTGAAGTTAGTAATAGCAAATAGGAGAATACGTATCATGCCGGTTTTGGTGAACCATTACATATTACATTTCTGCTATACCTGGATATGTGTAAACAATTACCAGCCCGACAAGAATGTTAAGATCAATAATGGTCTGAAATAAACTAGAGTTCGGCGATCTCATACCTCCATGACATGTTTAGTGCTTTCGTAAATCTTATGCATGGTGATGACCATGTGTAAATGCCTTACATTTACAATCCTTTCTATTAGCAAAATTTTCATTTGCTAATTATTTGTGCCCAAACGGTTACATGAAATATCTGTGGCTAGATCAAGCAGCGATAGAGGTGTAAGTGCAAGTCCAACAAAGTATACAAACAGGTAAATGGGCATGTTTTCACCAGAATCATTCAGCTTTCACAAATCAGTGCACGTGTGTCTTGTTGCATTTCATAATCACACAATGTTCGACGTATTATCGAGGCTCTGTTAACGTATTTTATGCAAACGTAAATACATACATGATGCCAAGTCTTGATCGTATCGGTATAGCCGGTATAACCGTCCTTCGACGTAACACACAAGCTTTCTATTTGACGAGAACAATTCGCCTAACCCCTCTCAGTTTCATTATATATTCAACATTAACTTTATTAGAACTATGTTGAGTAATAAGCTACTCGTGTCGACCTTTGTTGCTGTATAGTTTTTCAAACCACCGAAAAACACGCAGTGGCCATACTATTAAACACGGGTCACTAGTACTGTTTCCTTTAGCTACTTTCTCAAGATAACATGTTCAATAGACACGAAGAATGTGTTTTATCAATATGGGATTCCCAGAAAATACTTTCTTTCCTTTCTCCGTGCCCTTTCCTCCGCCGCCCTCTGTGCCTGCCTGGCAGCTTCAGCCAAAGCTTCTTGTCTCTTCGCTTCCACCTCTGCCACTCGTCTCTTGGCTTCTTCAGCAGCTCTCTCGGCCTCAGCCTTCGCCGCTTCAGCCCTTGCCAGCCTCTCCTTTTCAGCGGCCCTTTCTGCTGCTGCCTTGGCCTCTTGTTTCTATCGATAAATCATCAAAGGTTAGTACTACCTAGGGATGTGCATTCTTGAAAAGACGTTCAACCAAAAGATCAAGGTTATTTGCAGACACTTAACCATTTTTGTGTAAAAAAATTAGGGATATCCCCCCAAAATGAAAATGCTGACAGCGGTTCAGTTTCCCTGCCCAATTTACCTAACTATGTTCGAATTCAGGTAATACTATATATTGGTCATTTTTGACAGTTCATGACAATGGTACAGTCCCCATTCTATTGCAATAAGAGCCTGAGGTGATCTCACCTTTCTCTGTTCTTCCTTAACTCGGCGGTCTTCCTCCACCAGCTTCTTGTCTGTGTCCATGATCGCGTTCCTCCTTGTCGTCTCCGTGGCACGGAAGGTCTCCAACACTTTCTCAACTGCTGGGCCTTTTCCAGAAGCTAGATATACAACAAAAACGCTATGAGAGATGGTCCTTTCTGGCTGTAACATGCTGTAACTGCACTGCACGGAAACCTGCTAAAAGCGTGTGATGTTACAATACCTCACTCTTTCGGGGTAAAATAACACAAATTAAAGTCATAAAACTGTGTTTCGACTGAGCCAGTCGTCCAAAACACTCACCTTTTTGCCTGTAGGCTCTGTACACGTCCTCCATGTCCTTTGCGTATGTATTGAATCCACCGATTCCATTGTACACTCCCCTTCCCACTTTCAGTCGAACGGGAAGGTCGACTTTTTTCAGGATCGTCTCGCAGAGATCCTTAGACTTAGCGCTGTTAAGATTGAGCAAGTCAAGGCGTTCCTTATTGAGCTTCGCCTGAAATGAGAGGAACAGACCACTGCATGAGTTTCACTTTGTAAGTCAGCAAAACCTATGTTCATCTAACCTTTGCATTTGTCACCTCAGCATAGCTATGAAATTATTGCGTTGGCAAAAACAATGATGTACTATGTTGATGATAGCTTCTACATTGCATGGGGTGACTTATGTACACACAGGTCAACTGGTCACACATCTAATAAAGGACATTTACCTGGAGACGCCTCTTCCATGTCCCATCTTTGTCCCACTTCCCCACGTCTGCAGACATCCTGGCGACGGCGTTGTCCACAGCAGCCTGGATTCTCCTGTTGCAGGTTGCCTCGTCAGTCGGCATGAGCGGTTTCACTGTTTCCTCAACAGTTTTCTGGAACGTCTTCATCTGTTCCTCTGAAGCCCGGCGGCACTCTCCTTCCGCCATAGCCTCGTATGCACCAAGAACAGACGGCATGGCGTTCGGGTCGTTGATGGCGTCGATATAGTACCGCATGATGTGAAGAAGACCTAGAGGATGTGGCAAGGCCATTGCTATGAGTTCATATGGTCGTGGTAACAGATACATTAAATGAGTATGAGAAGTGCTGCTATGGGAAAATTTCCGAACCACGCCAAATCACATACCTGTGGTTTTTACGTCCTCTCCGTTGACCCTCTTGACCTGGCCGGAGTTCCAGATCTCACGGGTGAAGTTTCCAGTAGCATCTTTGTACTCCGTCTGTAGAGCGCTGTCCGCTACGCTGCCAAGGTTGCTGAAATTCACAGAAAAATATCTGCAGTGTGCAGCAGTGTTCCTCAATGTTCGTGAGAGAAATGAGTGTCTGTCAGAAATATCTGTTATGCTTGGAAGTGTGTACCTCAAGACGTCCGAGTTTATGGACGGTGCAGGGATCAGTCGGAGATGCCGCTTTGGGAAGAAGGCCTTCACTGCAGACGTCATGTTGTTGTGGGAGTTGATCGCAGTTGTGTGGCCATCTTTGTGCTCCAACAAGAGTTCCAGGAACTCGTCAGGGGTTAGGCGTCTTCCGTATTTCTACAATATGTCACAAAATATTAATAAATAAGCTGCATATCGATGCAAGTGAGGCTGGCCTGTCGCTAACATTCACCATATAAGAATTCCATTCGAACTGGAAAAAATGAGATAAGGATATGTATGTTATCTCATTTTTTCCATATAAAGTTACATGGAATTCTTATATGGAGAAAAAATGGGATAACTATTAGAGAAAGAGTCATCACGACTTTTTCAGTTATCACGTTTTCCAGTGAAAATAAATTTACGTAGTAAATAAATGAGATAGAAAGCTATGTCTGAATTTGTGGTATTAGAGAAAAGGACCTCTAGGACCCTTAGCCCTCGACATTTCATCAGGCACGTACTTGAGGTGTTTTCAGGTGAGTGTCTTGCACGGCCACCCACAGCTCGGGGAAGTGCTGACCAAGATTTTGTCCCTCGTCGCCACCATCTCTTTGAACACGGATACGTTCTGCGAGGTCTCCCATGAGTCTGAAATGGTAGAATAAAATTCCTTGTACTTGTGCCTGGTCGGAATTTTGAAAGGATGGTAAAATATCCGTCTATCAACATGTTAGATAGTACGTTGTTAGGTGACGTAATTATCGAATTGTTTAGGCAGATGAGAAAATAACCGCAGAAGACATACCTCAGATTAGTCACAAAGCCACTGTCTGGGTTCCCCTGGAGGTTGAAAACCAGGTGGTTGGAGATGAGGGTGGCCAAAACCAGATACTTGGTGTCTTTATCTCTCTGTTCCTCATCACAGTAGTCACCCAGACCTGCAATCATATGTTGCCATTCATTCATATTAATTGTCAGGGTGGAAAATAATAATTTGATATGCATGCCATAGAGTAATGCCGGACTTTGGAAAATTCATTTGCACTCGACAGTTCGCATTTGCTGTATAGATTTGCAACATAATAAGCAAACATATAGTCGCCACTGCGATATGTTGGCGCTCTTGAGAAAACGCTCTTATTATTACCTTCAGTGTCAACAACCATGAGATAGCGACCAGTCTGAACCGGATGGGGACGGATCCAGAACCAGAAATCCTTTGTTTTCGATTCCATGTCGTCTCCAAGAGGGAATCCAGACTTCTTTTTGCATAGGAGATTTGCCATATGGGACTTCCCTTTCCTCATCGGCCCTACAACCGACACAACATCGACGGAGCGAGGCGGGAGGCTGGAGAGGATTTTCTCCGCTGCAGGTGAGATGTAGATCTGTCTCCGGTTGTTCACCTCCCGAGTTGATGTTAGCTTGATCGGACCATCCATGACCCGTCCTGTTAATGAATGCAATGAAATACATGTATGTGAAAGGCTGTTTTCTCTCTATTAAGCATGGGTTTCATTTGTCTCTCTTTTGATTTTTCCCCTTACATTGACTAGCTACGTGTGCTACATCACAAGCCACAGCAAGCCAAGTAAATTGAGGACGAGGACTTATTATATGAGTGATCTGAGCTCAGATGCTTCATTATAAAAGGCGCAATATACAATTACAATTTTTGTTGCCAGATCTCAAATGGTCACTTATTGCACAAAATCATCTCAGTCTTCTTCTCAGCCCGAGGTTTCATGGCCAGGAAGAACAAAATTTCACCTCTGTTGTAACGTGTGAAATGTCCTTACCCTCTTCCTCTTCCACATCCTCAGCTTCCATTGCTAGCGTTCCTTTTCCAAGGGCTTTCAGTAATTCCTTCAGTAAACCAAGATTTTCCCTACCAATTTTGCCATCAGCTTCCAACATGTTGAACATTTCATGGGGCTTTGCGTTCTCAACTCTTCCCCTGGCAATATGGTTGTCAGTTATCATCGATTGTCGCAAGCTTTTCACTTCATCTTCCGACAAATGTTCACTGATCTTGATGTACAGCTTGTTACGTAGGGAAAGTTCAACCTTCGTTGGTTGTGGGTAACCTTCCTCAACCTCCATGGCGATGGCCACTGTTGAAAGGATAGAATAAGTCTAAGAAGGCTGTAGATACGCTCAATGAAGATTTGCTGTGAATCCAAGCGCATAACTCCATTTTATAACTGATGCGGAAATGCTAGAATGGCATTATTTGCTAACTTGTTTGACAACTGCTATCTAAGTGGAGATGATTAATTGAATCAGATATAACTTATGGAAATGATGACCTTGGTTGCATAATCAATCAGAAAAATTTACAATCAATTAGAAAAATTTACAATACATCAGTCGTAACGGTTACCATCATTTGGCAGAGGTATGAGGTCGTGGAATCATCAGTAACTTAATTATAAATAGAGAGTACGTCCTCTTATGCTACTAGTACAATATTGACTCGAGGGTTGGACTTGTGGCTTGATGGTTATTCAGGGTGAAGAGGGGGTAAGATAGAATTATCATAGAGCCTTTGGCAGTCAGTTAAGTAGTCTTGCTGGTATTTGGACATTAGCCCAAAAAGCGATGTAACAGGAAAAACACTGTTCATGATAGAATGCCTAACAGGTAAGATTTCGGAAAAACCGATATACTGTTTGTATAGAAGTAAACAAGTTGTCAGAAGGAAGCCGTTGATGGACAGCGTGCACACTGCACTGCATTGACTGACTGACTGACTGACTAACTGCACTACATTTGAGAGTTGTGTCGATAATGTACTACAGACAGGTTTGGGAATAGACAGCTGTCTGTAGTACATTATCGACACATGTACACCAATTCCACAAACAAAGCAACAATGAAGTTTCATTTATTTATTTATTTTTTTTTATTCTTTGCCTCAGGCCAGAGGCCCATATAAAAACAGGTACAATACAACAACAAGTACAAATACACAAATCACATACAGATGTTTAAAAAGTGCGGCCAGAAGAGGCTCCGAGTAAACACTTCCGAATGGCAAAGCGCACATACAATACTATTTCTCGATGTGAGAAGGCGCTGGACAAATGAGTAGCAGAATTTGCGCCATCTGGCGTCAAAGGTATCGATACGTAAGTGTGTACATAACTGACTGTTACTACACCACCTAGGCTGGTTCATCAGCATTTCAAGAGCGTCGTGGTACGCAGTCTTAAAACGCTGAAGCACACCAACACTGTGCCTGATCCACAGCTGCGAACAATAAATGGACGAACAGTGGGACATAAAAAGTATGCGTTTAACCTCTGTTGCACAATTACTGAATTTACGGCATAAAGAGTTAGCTTTGGTGTAGAGTTGTCTTGTTGCATTACGGATGGATGTATCATCGGACAAGTTGTAGGTTATCTGTACGCCTAAGTATGTAACAGAAGGAACGTAATCCAGAGAGGTGCCATACAGTGTAACAGAGGGAGGTTCGCTACATAGGAGTAATCGTGGGCATGGGAAATACATGCAGTTGGTTTTCTTATTACAAAAAATAACATCATTCTCGACTCCAAAGGCCTCACATGTGTTAATTAGCTTCTGCAAGGCTTTCGCAGAAGGACAAATCAGGCAGATATCATCTGCGTACAGGAGGTGGTTAACATTAACCTTGCCAATAAAACAACCAACATTTGTGTTCTTCAACATCACACTAACGTCTGCCATGTAAAGTGAGGGGGATAGCAAGCTCCCCTGGGGGACACCGTTACTGGAGCTAAAACTGTCCGACGGTCTTCCCCCAGCGCACGTTAAATGACAAACGGCTGAACCAACACACAATAACTCGTACCAAATAAACAGGTACCCCTCTCTTGAGCAATTTGTTAAACAATGTGTAGTGATTAACTCGATCAAATGCTTTAGATGCATCAAGAAAACAGACAAAGACGGGGGAACCTCGACTATGAAAATAAGATATGATCTCTTTGAGAGCAAAAATGCACATGTCCGTCCCGTGATGCTGCTTGAAGCCAAATTGGTTCGCTGGAGTAGACAAATACCCCTGCAGGCGACCAAGGAGGACAGATTCAAACAATTTAAACAGGGGACTAGAGATGGCAATTGGGCGGTAGTTATTCTTAATGGAAGGGTTTAGATTTTGTTTCTTAATAATCGGGACAAGAATTACATGTAACATACTAGCGGGGATGTGGCCGTGAAGCAGCAGAGCTGAGAATAACAGGGAGAATAGTACATGAAGTTTCAACCAGGCTGACAATAGCCAGAAACTACAAAGAGTCCAAATATTTCATGGTTCTGAGACCCACAAACTTAGGACCAAGTTCGCCAGTGCCTAGTTTTTATGTCTTGTAGTTAAAATTAGTTGAAAACAAAAAAAAATTGACAGAAGATGTCAACGCCCAGACATTGTACACAACGGCTGAAAGCAAGACCACAGACAAGGTCGCACCCAACGTTTCACACCTCTACAACAGTCCCGGTGTCCTCTGGGAAGTCCCTATGACGTAATAGGAATTCCCCCTTTATATATATTACAGATACAGATTGCAAAGCCCCGACGGTGAACAAGACATATTTCTAACTGTTTTTAAGCTCCTTGCTTCAGCTATCAAGTTTGCTGGAGGATATATTTTTTGATAGAATGCTGTCTTTTAGATATTGGCACGTGAATCACGGCATATACAGTACAGTAGGTTTTATCTCACCAGATTCAGTGCCGCGTCAACTTCAATTGATTTATTTACATGTCAGCCACAGTTTATAGGCCTTCTAGCTGGAAGCTTTGTTTCTACGAGCGCAGCAAGAGAGCAGCGTTTTCAGGGGGAGTGTGGCGGTTGTGTACACCTTTCCCCCCGATGTACACCCCCCCCCCCGGAAAATAAAACCACCGTGCCCCTAGAAATAGGTTTACGCTGGCCCCAAAAAATTCTCCGCATGAGGCTATGTTTGAACAATGCTCCGGTAGTATTGTGACGATATCATACTTGCATGCATGCTACTAGCGAGAGAAGACAAGGTTTTTGTTCATGAAGACACATTAGCATTAAGAATGCATCCTTACTTGTACCTTGTCGTGTACCCCAAAACTGTGGATCAGTCTGATAGCTGAGTCTGCCGCTAGCCTCTCTTGTTGCCGCTCGCCAGACAGTACGGTCCGGTCACTACTGGTTCTGTCTCGTCTAACCGGAGCGCAGTTTGTTCGTCCTTTTATATGCTGCCGGTTCAATGTTATTGACACAATACTAACAGTAACTAGAAAGGCCGACATTTGCTTGAGAGCAAATGCAGCGATGGCTTCACCACATCCCCCATACCGAAAATGGATGTATCCCACGATGGCTGCCAATAGTCTACACCCCCATGCAGCAATGGAACCTTCCAATGCCGGAAATAGCCAAAAAGCCCTATTTTACGTAATTTTAAAGTGATGTATGTCAAAATTGTGAATGACATTCTTTGGACATGTGACCAAGGTATCCCCATACCAAATTTCAGGTCATTCAGGTTTAATATTAGGGCACAGGAGCCAAAAATGTACATTTTTGGTCCGAAAATAGCAAAAAAGCCCTATTTTGCACAGTTTTGAAGTGGTATATGTCAAAAGCGTGAATGACATTCTTTGGACATGTGTCCAAGGTATCCCCATACCGAATTTCAGGTCATTCGGATTTAATATTAAGGCACAGGGGATTTTTTGGTCCGAAAATAGCCAAAAAGCCCTATTTTCCCCACTTTTAAAGTGGTGTATGATGGAAGCTTGAATGAAGTTTTGTAGACATATGTCCAAGGTATCCCCATACCAAATTTCAGGTCATTTGGTTTTAGTACCAGGGCCCCAGGTCTCAAAATGTACAAAAATGTATATTTTTTGCCTGAAAATGGCCAAAAAACCCAAATAAAACAATTTTTCAAAAAAATGAAAAAAAAATGCGTCGGGGTACTTGCCCACTCTACCTTCATGCCAAATTTGGTGTTATTTGACCCAACAACGGCAGAGATGAATCCATTTAAAGAAATGGCAGGAGGAGAAGGAGGAGAAGGAGGAGGAGAAGAAACATGAGAGAACACAATATGTCTTCACCACTTTGTGGTGAAGCCATAACTATGGATACATGGCCAGCCATGCAAAATGTCAATGTTGATACTGGAATCCGGGTTACAATACTATTTTTGACTCAGACAAAAAAGTAAGTAAACATTTTTGTCGCGGTTCTACTCATGTTCTGACAGCAAAAAGAGGAACAGAAACTTCGAAGTGTTTGTTCGGTCTCCAATATTTCTTTAGGTGTTGCATCATATGTGTATTCAAGTTATCCCTTTGTACCTAACCCAGCGGGTATGTTTGTACAATAAAGGTCTTCATTCATTCATATCAGTAACGTCAAAGTTTCGGTTCCTCTTTTTGCTGTCACACATGAATAGAACCGGGGGTTTCCTTTAATATGTGTGTTGAAGCACACGCTTGAGTCATCACATTTCTGCTATACCTGGGAACAACTGTATATCTTTCAGACCATTATCGATTTTTGCATTCTTGGGCGGGTAAATTGTTTACACATATCCAGGTGTAGCAAACATGTGATATATGTTATGGTTCACCACACCGGCATGATATTCTCCTATTTGCTATTACGCTCGTACTTATTTCAAGTTTGAGCGATTCAATCGTTATGAAGAAAATGAAAATCTAGGATGTAACATTACATGTAGGATGGGACCCAAGGTGATCATGACTGCTTTCAGTCAATACACAACTCCAATGCTCAAATTATGGACTCCTCAAATCATAAATTCAACATTTTGGTCCCTAAAATCAACGGCTGAGACACAATACCACAGGCAAGGTCGCACACCGTATGCGTCACACCTTTACAGCAGTTCGAGGTGTCCTCTGGGAAGGGGGAAGTCCCGATGACGTTATCATGAATTGTCACAGGAAAGTCCCGACACTCCGCTAGCACGTACGAAAAAGTCGGCCGGAATAGTAAATTTGACCTGATAAGAAGACCATTCGGGCCTTGTACGGGACCTAGCCCTACGACAGGTACCGAAGTACAAAGTTGCCGAAATCTCAGCAACCATGTGGCCAAGTTTCATGTCTTGACTAGTTTTATCTTATAAACGAAAAAAATTCAAGGTCAAGTTCGTCGCACACAATGCGTCACACCTTAACAGCAGTTCGCGGTGTCCTCTGGGAAGGCGGAAGTCCCGAAGACGTCATCTTGAATTGTTGTCACAGGAAAGTCCCGACAGTGTATATGGCGCAAGAACGTATTACGGCCGCCATATCAGTAGTTCTGCCGAAAAAAACGTTTCGCCGGCCGGCTTAAACAAAAATTCATTCGGGAAGCCAGTGTTTTTCCATCTACAATATATTTTGTCCCGCGCCAGGACCAAGCTACAGATCAAATATTTCTCCAAGCATGTTGGATTATGGGCCATCTGTTGCGTCTGATGGGTGCGCCTGGGTCCAATTAATGAGGCGCATTTGTAGCCTCAGATTTCCTACACTGCCAACTGAGATGAAGAGGAAAATGATCAATGGATGTCAAGTGTCGTAAGAGAAGACCTATCTTGCATAACTGAAACGAAAAAAACTGCGAGTCCGTGTTGGCAAATAATTATTTCGGTATTTGGAAGCTGAGTAAAGCTAAACTTGTAAATCAGAGTCACCTTTCCATAGTCTAGAACTGTAGAAGTAAATACTACAATAGCGTAATACTACAATGTAAAGATCGATAATGGTCTGAATTAAAAACAATGAGTCCCAGGTATAGCAGAAATGTGATGACTCAAGCGTGTGCTTCAACACACATATTAAAGGAAACCCCCGGTTCTATTCATGTGTGACAGCAAAAAGAGGAACCGAAACTTTGACGTTACTGATATGATGCAACACCTAAAGAAACATTGGAGACCGAACAAACACTTCGAAGTTTCTGTTCCTCTTTTTGCTGTCAGAACATGAGTAGAACCGCGACAAAAATGTTTACTTACTTTTTTGTCTGAGTCAAAAATAGTATTGTAACCCGGATTCCAGTATCAACATTGACATTTTGCATGGCTGGCCATGTATCCATAGTTACTGTTAGTATTGTGTCAATAACATTGAACCGGCAGCATATAAAAGGACGAACAAACTGCGCTCCGGTTAGACGAGACAGAACCAGTAGTGACCGGACCGTACTGTCTGGCGAGCGGCAACAAGAGAGGCTAGCGGCAGACTCAGCTATCAGACTGATCCACAGTTTTGGGGTACACGACAAGGTACAAGTAAGGATGCATTCTTAATGCTAATGTGTCTTCATGAACAAAAACCTCCCAATATTTTCTACTCTCGCTAGTAGCATGCATGCGTGCGTGACACAACTATGGTCTCCTTCATAGGATTTTAGTAGTCTCCACCAGAATTCTTTTGCGGGCTGAATAAATCGTAGAAATCGGTCTAAAAAGGGTATTAATCGGCCAGAGAAGGTTGGCCGCCAGAGAGGGTCAATTTGACTAGGATTTTAGCCGGGCGAGCCGACGAGAAATCGGCCAGCCCCCGCTGTACTCTGACATCCAGGGTACGTAAACGCGTTTCTACGGGCGTTGTATGCGCCCACCCGGCACCCTCGGCTGCGCTTGTAGCCCTGGATGCTAGCTATAAACTGTTGCTGTGATGTAATTAAATCTTAATGTTATCGGACCACCGCCACCGGATGGGAAGAAGTGTCGTATTTTAACCAAGATATTTAAGCTCCAGTCAATACATCGTAGGATGCACGGTGTTGTTACCTATGACGATATCACTGTGCGCCGTACGTCGACAGGGGGCAATTTGATTTTTAAATCGTTCCACCCGTTTCTACGACATACGGCACAATAGTTAGAATCTATATGGATGAGATCTCATCTCTATTGGTTGTTGAAATGTGTTTTCATGCAATGTTTTTCGTGCAATGTACTTGTTCCATACCAAGTCACAGCCTATAAATTATGCATTGCAGTAAATTCGGAATGGTGGCGTGTATGATATGGCGCACAGAGAGTTCGGTATTTTTTTTTCACGGCCCAGTTCCTCCACTGGGCTCAACTTTTTTCCACTGGCCCTCCCCTCGACCCAAGAATTTTTTTCCCGCTGGCCTTTCCTCTCTCCAATTTTTCATGTCTCTTTGCTCGAAGTACATGACGATAAAAAGTTCGAACGGAACAGCGGGCTTGGGTTTATCATGATCGTGGCGCACGCAGCGTTACCGCCGGCCTACCCTAGTTCATGATTGCGTCGCAAAACTTGATTTGAAGAGGGGCTAGGGGCATACTGGCGCGGGGAAATTGTTATGTTTAAACTTTCAATGTGGCGAAATACGAGTGGTTGCCCGTTGCTCCTTGTACTGCCGCCACTGGTATTACCTATTGGTATATGGACGGAATCTCCTAAAAGTTTTCCTCTAAAACGCCTGACTACTAGACATAATTTGCACATTATTTTCAAGATTTGCACGTAAAAATAGTCTGGACGTACAATTTTGCATGTTGCAAATACTGGTCAGGGCTATCCTAAGACCGTGGAATAAACAAAAACCTCCCAATATTTTCTTCTCTCACCAGCACTCATTTTCAACTTTATAGCGTGTTTATTATTTTCTTATTACGGTCAAATGTACCGAAATTCGTTGGGTTTGCAGGCTAGCGGCCGCTGGACATTTCCCTTTGATCATTGCTGGTACAGCGCGGAGGAGCGGTTGGAACGTGCGGGATACTGTGATATGTGACGCTCGTGCAGCCTGACTACCTGACTTCACATAAAGAAACCACCTCAATAATGACACATAAAAAATCAATAATGTTGGGTTCACGACCCAAATCATCTGCGGCCAGATAGACAGTGATTCAAAGGTAAAACAAAATGTGATGACTTTTGCAGCTAGCACACAAAAGGAAACCTTCGGGTGTCCATGCTAGTCATGTGTGACAGCAGAAAGAGGAACAGAAACTTCAACGCTTTTGTTTAAACGTCCAGCGCGGATGCAACCTCCAAATTCAAAGAAAATGGACACCAAACAAACACTTAACGTTAAAGGTTTTTATTCCTATTTTTCTTGTACCATGAGTAGAAACGCGACGTTTGAGCTTGTCTTTGTCTGCTGGGAGCTTCAAACAGAGGCAGTGTGCTGTAACACGTTCTTAAGGCATGTTATATGTATATAAACATATATATAAGGCATATATAAGCATGCATACGTATTTTTTTCCAATGATTAACAGGACGAATCATGGATCGTCCGATCAAGCTAACATCAACTCGGGAGGTGAACAACCGGAGACAGATCTACATCTCACCTGCAGCGGAGAAAATCCTCTCCAGCCTCCCGCCTCGCTCCGTCGATGTTGTGTCGGTTGTAGGGCCGATGAGGAAAGGGAAGTCTCATCTGGCAAATCTCCTATGCAGAAAGAGGTCTGGATTCCCTCTTGGAGACGACATGGAATCGAAAACAAAGGATTTCTGGTTCTGGATCTGTCCCCATCCGGTTCAGACTGGTCGCTATCTCATGGTTGTTGACACTGAAGGTGAGAGCGTTTTCTCAAGAGCGCCACTGACAAAATAGCAGTGGCGACTATTTGCTTACGTATTATGTTGCGGATCTATATGTTTGCTTATTATGTTGCAGATCTATATGTTTGCTTATTATGTTGCAGATCTATACGTTTGCTTATTATGTTGCAAGTCTATATGTTTGCTTATTATATTGCAGATCTATATGTTTGCTTATTATGTTGCAGATCTATACAGCAAATGCGAACTGTGTGTACAACTTTACGTCGCGAGTTCAAATGAATTTTCCAAAGTCCGGCATTACTCTGTGGCATGCATATCAAATTATTATTTTCCACCCTGACAAATAATATGAATGAATGGCAACATATGATTGCAGGTCTGGGTGACTACTGTGATGAGGAACAGAGAGATAAAGACACCAAGTATCTGGTTTTGGCCACCCTCATCTCCAACCACCTGGTTTTCAACCTCCAGGGGAACCCAGACAGTGGCTTTGTGACTAATCTGAGGTATGTCTTCTGCAGGTTATTTTCTCATCTGCCTAAACATCTAACAACGTACTATCTAACATGTTGATAGACGGATATTTTACCATCCTTTCAAAATTCCGACCAGGCACAAGTACAAGGAATTTTATTCTACCATTTCAGACTCATGGGAGACCTCGCAGAACGTATCCGTGTTCAAAGAGATGGTGGCGACGAGGGACAAAATCTTGGTCAGCACTTCCCCGAGCTGTGGGTGGCCGTGCAAGACACTCACCTGAAAACACCTCAAGTACGTGCCTGATGAAATGTCGAGGGCTAAGGGTCCTAGAGGTCATTTTCTCTAATACCACAAATTCAGACATAGCTTTCTATCTCATTTATTTACTACGTAAATTTATTTTCACTGGAAAACGTGATAACTGAAAAGGTCGTGATGACTCTTTCTCTAATAGTTATCCCCTATATAGTTTTTATATGGAAAAAATTAGATAACATATCCTTATCTCATTTTTTCCAGTTTGAATGGAATTCTTATATGTTGAATGTGAGCGCCAGGCCAGCCTCGCATCGATATGCAGCTTATTTATTAATATTTTGTGACATATTGTAGAAATACGGAAGACGCCTAACCGCTGACGAGTTCCTGGAACTCTTGTTGGAGCACAAAGATGGCCACACAACTGCGATCAACTCCCACAACAACATGACGTCTGCAGTGAAGGCCTTCTTCCCAAAGCGGCATCTCCGACTGATTCCTGCACCCTCCATAAACTCGGACGTCTTGAGGTACACACTTTAGTTTCCAAGCAGAACAGATATTTCTGACAGACACTCATTTCTCTCACGAACATTAAGGAACACTGCTGCACACTGCAGATATTTTTCTGTGAATTTCAGCAACCTTGGCAACGTAGCGGACAGCGCTCTACCGATGGAGTACAAAGATGCTACTGGAAACTTCACCCGTGAGATCTGGAACTCCGGCCAGGTCAAGAGGGTCAACGGAGAGGACGTAAAAACCACAGGTACTTAGCTAGTATGTGATTTGGCGTGGTTCAGAATTTTTCCTAGCAGCACTTCTCATACTCATTTAATGTATCTGTTACCACGACCATATGAACTCATAGCAATGGCCTTGCCACATCCTCTAGGTCTTCTTCACATCATGCGGTACTATATCGACGCCATCAACGACCCGAACGCCATGCCGTCTGTTCTTGGTGCATACGAGGCTATGGCGGAAGGAGAGTGCCGCCGGGCTTCAGAGGAACAGATGAAGACGTTCCAGAAAACTGTTGAGGAAACAGTGAAACCGCTCATGCCGACTGACGAGGCAACCTGCAACAGGAGAATCCAGGCTGCTGTGGACAACGCCGTCGCCAGGATGTCTGCAGACGTGGGGAAGTGGGACAAAGATGGGACATGGAAGAGGCGTCTCCAGGTAAATGTCCTTTATTAGATGTGTGACCAGTTGACTGTGTACATAAGTCACCCCATGCAATGTAGAAGCTATCATAAACATAGTACATCATTGTTTTTGCCAACGCAATAATTTAATAATTTCATAGCTATGCTGAGGTGACAAATGCAAAGGTTTTATTGAATGAAAGACCTTTATTGTACGTTTGTGCTCTAACAAGCTAAGTACAGGTCATGAATAAACAAGGGAAAAGAATACAGTGGTAACGCTTAAACTATACATGCTAATGTGTTCTACTATTAACTAGTTCAACTTCTTCTCGCTTCTTTAGGCAATTATAGATGTAAGAACATATTGGACTGATGATACATTGTTTGTCAAGTTTCATAAGGAATGCGAACTTTTCTATTTTGTCTAAATGTCTAAAGTTTGGGAACTTATCTATTATACACGTATACAGGGAATCCCTCTCATTTCTATATAAAGTACAATCAACAACAAAATGACTTTCATCTTCAATATTATCTAAAGTACAAAATTGGCAAATCCTTTGCTGTAGAGGAATGCGGTTATGTCTGCCTTTTTCTATGTGGAGTTTGTGTGAACTTATCCGGAGTTTTGTGATGGCTGTTCTGTGTCGAGTATTTGTAATTTTCAGATATTTTTCTTCGTGGTAAGTATCTTTTAGTAAATCTGTATGTTCGTAATTTGTTGTTGTTCCGCATTTCTGATATGAAGGATTGGAGGTACATGTCCTTAAGGCGTTGGTGGATAGATGATATAATGTGAGGCAAATTGAAGGTAGATGATAAGGACGAATGCCAAACATAGGCAAAACCGCATTCCTCTAATGTCTTACGAACACCAGTAGCCCAGCATTTGGCACCTACTGCTTCTAAATCAAATTGGCACATAAGTGCGTCTGCAGATAGACTATCAGCTGGCACATTCTGACGTATTCTGAGGTAGTGTTTGATGGTGTTGAGTGACGCTTCTAATCTAAGGGGATATCTCCCTAATTCAGCCATCACAGCAAGGTTACAAGAAGATTTGGGCACATTTAAAGAATGTTTGCAGAATTTTAGGTGCACGGCTTCGATTGGGGATGAACATAAGTTTTGCTGACATACAAAGTGAAACTCATGCAGTGGTCTGTTCCTCTCATTTCAGGCGAAGCTCAATAAGGAACGCCTTGACTTGCTCAATCTTAACAGCGCCAAGTCTAAGGATCTCTGCGAGACAATCCTGAAAAAAGTCGACCTTCCCGTTCGACTGAAAGTGGGAAGGGGAGAGTACAATGGAATCGGTGGATTCAATACATACGCAAAGGACATGGAAGACGTGTACAGAGCCTACAGGCAAAAAGGTGAGTGTTTTGGACGACTGGCTCAGTCGAAACACAGTTTTATGACTTTAATTTGTGCTATTTTACCCCGAAAGAGTGAGGTATTGTAACATCACACGTTTATAGCAGGTTTCCGTGCAGTGCAGTTACAGCATGTTACAGCCAGAAAGGACCATCTCTCATAGCGTTTTTGTTGTATATCTAGCTTCTGGAAAAGGCCCAGCAGTTGAGAAAGTGTTGGAGACCTTCCGTGCCACGGAGACGACAAGGAGGAACGCGATCATGGACACAGACAAGAAGCTGGTGGAGGAAGACCGCCGAGTTAAGGAAGAACAGAGAAAGGTGAGATCACCTCAGGCTCTTATTGCAATAGAATGGGGACTGTACCATTGTCATGAACTGTCAAAAATGACCAATATATAGTATTAGTTGGGCAGGGAAACTGAACCGCTGGCAGCATTTTCTTTTTTGAGGGATATCCCTAATTTTTTTTGACACAAAAATGTGTCTGCAAATAACCTTGATCTTTTGGTTGAACATCTTTATGCAAGTGATCATTTAAGAAGAGATTTTTGCACAACCCATGCTGTGATGCTTCCAAATAGGATTCTAATAGCCTTGCCTTAGGTACCCCACGCGACATTTCTCCTTTAAAAACGTCATACCTACGACCAAGGCACGCCGGGAGTGTATCTGTATCTGTATAGCCGGTATAACCGCCTTTCGGCGTAACACACCAGCTGTGCGCGAATATCCAGAATGCACATCCCTAGGTAGTACTAACCTTTGATAATTTATCGATAGAAACAAGAGGCCAGGGCAGCAGCAGAAAGGGCCGCTGAAAAGGAGAGGCTGGCAAGGGCTGAAGCGGCGAGGGCTGAGGCCGAGAGAGCTGCAGAAGAAGCCAAGAGACGGGAGGCAGAGGTGGAAGCGAAGAGACAAGAAGCTTTGGCTGAAGCTGCCAGGCAGGCACAGAGGGCGGCGGAGGAAAGGGCACGGAGAAAGCGAAGGAGAAAGATTTTTGGAATCTTTTAAAAGAGGTGATTGTAATGGGAGTATGACTTCAGTATGGGAGTTGGATACTTGGAAGAACAAAGGAATTAGAATCTTGCTTTGCAATATTGTGTTGCGGGAATAGCTTTGCACAGAAAGGGTTAGGGGCTGATGTACTGAATGTTGTGTTTAGAAGTACAGAGCAGCGACAAGAGAGACGAATATACTTAGTAATGTATTAGATAAACTTGATATCGATATGCTTATCATCCAAGTATAAGCTTAGTGCATTTTAACATCAAAACATGTCAAATATGTAACCAAGTATTTCCCCAAGTTTTTTTATCTCAACAAACAACAAAAGACTATATTACTGTTAAAATCTCCTAACCCATTTATTTTTCAAAGAGTCGGACAATTCATCTCCCACTGCCTCCTGAGAAGAAGTCAAAGCCCCAAATAGCAAGAATAGTTTGATAGAATAGAATAGATTAGAATAGCAGTTACCTTGTTCCTCTTACCTGTTTATGTATTGCGTATTCACTGTTTATGATCCTGTATACCAACTTCATTAGATTTAAGTAGAGATAGTCGGTTTGATAAGTATTTCGTTCACAGTAGAACTCCATGTTAGCATATAGTTTTATATCACCACATTTCTCTTGTCAATGTTTGCAATTACATACAGTGTTTACTTTAAAGATAGTGATGGTCATGATACTGGCATCGGTGTAATTACCACAGAGCACGGAGGTATTTCTTTTGGGTGCACATATGTAACGTTATGCGTGTGTGCTTTCTTGTGTGTTTGCAGTAGTATAGAGTAGCAGGAAAGCGGAGGCTTTGTAACCTCAGATCGAGTTGGCAGCCAGTAAATTTAACGTTGACCCCTGCGTGATCTTCAGCAGATCTTTCATGTATTATGTTATGTTACTGTACACCGCTTGGTGGAAATAAAGACATAATTAAAATATACAGCCATTGCGTTTCAGTATTGTTTTATAATGTGTCAAATCAATGCATTAATGCACTAAGGCAACAACATATAGATAATATTTTCCAAACTAGAGAAGAAAAATGCACATAATCACATGCAGTCAAAAATGATTTATGCGTTTGTCTCTTTAATACAAAACTTATTAAATAAGAAAAAGTGTATACACAAGTAGCAGCATCAGCACATACAGATGTATATGGTACACATTGCACAAATTTAGAAATATACAAAATTTGTATGATACAGCATCTAATATAAACAGGTGGGCTGAACAATAGCTTGTAACAAGATTGTTAGACTTGTATACATATGGCATTCGGAGCAGCATTACTTTTAACTTGGCCGCAACAGTGAATTGTTAACATCCTCTGTATTTGTATTAGGCCACAGCAAGTAAATGTTATGGATGTCATCCTCCTAAGACTCCAAATCTAATGCGAGCGGGCCGAAAAAAGCAAGGTTCCTACATTTTCAAATTTTGACTCAATCATTGTACAAATGTTTTTTTATTCAGTGGGAAGCTCACATATACACAGTCAGCATCACATATCACTGCATCAAAGTAAGAAACAACACATTAAATCAGAGCCTTTTCTTGTCTCCTCTCTTCATAGTTATCTGCTATCCACCTTCCGGCATGGCAACAGACATCTTTGCCCATTTTCGTCGACCACTGTCAGAAGGCAACAAAGTTTCTTGTTTTTTTCCCCAAATCAGGCAAAACTTAATGCGCGCACTGATGTCATCCATAAAAATTACTTGCTGTGGCGTTAAGCAATACACATGTATCAATTCATTTCCTTCAGCAAGCCATTCTTTGTTGGTTCATTGGTGTGCCAGACAAAATAATTTACACAGAAAAAAGTTAGAAGGACCTCAATATTTGCAAGGCAATGAAGAAACCCAAAGGAAAGCTATATGCAGCAATCGGTGACAATGAAATATGTCATAAATACAAGTGCATTGTTTTGCAAGTTTGTTTGAATACTAAGTACCTGTCTCAACTTTCTGAAGAGATATAAACTTTCGGAACAACATCATTTTTAAACTTGACTTAATACAATAATGATGTTGAACAATATAATATTTGGTACCTGTTTAAAGCTAAAACTTTTGATCTGACACAAAGGTCTTTTCACCAGTCACACATCATTTACCTTTGACCCAGTGTTGATGTCACACTTCAGAGAAGTCACGTGACAAGCCTCACTGGGTCAGTCTACTGAAGAAGACCAGAGTGACAGTCGAAAGCTCTAAGTGAGAACAAATCTTTGTATTGGATCAAAAGTTTAAACTTTAAACAGGTACTAGATATTCTACAGTTCAACATTACACCATGATGAGTTTGAATCAAGTTCAATTTAAAAAATGATGTTGTTCTGAAAGTTTAAAATTCTTAAAACATGTAACTACAAACATAGACGAACTTCCATGATAATATCTGGTACAAATGTACCATTATTGCTATTATACCGGGCTGTCTATTTTCCTCCTAGTGGTTTTCTACGACTGAGTTCCATTTTTTATCATCCATAAGGCCACACCAATTTAATTTGTTGCTTCTCGGATTTTTTCAGAAAACATCAGGAGCGCCAGGGCGAAAAAAAATATAAAAAAAACAAGCCAAGACACTCCATGATAGCCAGAAATGTTACAATATGAGCCATGAAGTGAACATACCAGACTGGTTTGTAGTTAAAACAATAGATTTTGAACTTTTAATGAAACAAAATTGCATTGTTACATTGAAAAACTGAAGAAATAGGAAGAAAAGGGACTTTTTTCAACTGTTGGGGACAAAACATGTCTTTCATTAAGCATTTTGCAGTTAATTTAGAACCCCACAATTTTTTTTTTTTTTTGCAAATCAGAAAAAATGGAGCGGGTGAATCCGAGAAGCAACAAATTAAATTGGTGTGGTCTAAGATTAAGTCAGTGTGGCCTTATAGTGGTGTATTGTTGAACTCTATATCTAGTACCATAATTGCTATTATACCGGGCTGTCTATTTTCCTCCTAGTGGTTTTCTACGACCGAGTTCCATTTCCTGCCGTCGTGCAGGTGCGGCAGGATAGTTCTGGGCGGCCGGGCCTGGAGTTCCCGCATGGTCGTGTGGAGGGACTTGAGCCGGTAGTCCCGCCAGTTCACGTGCTTCTGCAGGCTGCGCTGCATCTCCTGCTCGCTAGGGTACGGGTTCTCCTGTAGAACAACGTGGACAAGAACGGATGTCAAATTCTTTGAAAAGGAATAGGAGTGCGTCATAACAGTTTTGGGTCTGCATCATAACATGACTATCAGAAAGCAACCTGCATTTCCTTTATTGATTCACAAAATGTCTATCTATTCATTGAGCTATACCACATTTTTTTATTCAAACATTAAAGATAGAACAGAGACGGGGGGCGACACAGGTTATCTGACACGAAAGACCCTTTGCTGCAGTTACGTGTTTCCGATGTCACGTCCCGGAAGCTGCAGTAGAAGGGTCCATTCCGTGAACAAGGCTGACGGAGTCGGCCGAAAATTTGGGTCTCAATTTACTTAGTGTTGGCTAGAACGTTTAGCCCTTTTGGTCATAATTAAAATGGTGGTAATGCACTCACGTTACGAAGATTCATTTTCACACTACCACTTACATATGACAAAGCCATAGATTATTACAAAATGAAATCCAATATGAATGAAATACATCGGAATAAATTTCTAACACTGTTATGAAGAACAAAGATACTGAAAGGTTGACGGACGCAAGTCCAGTTTCCCATTAAATGAGGAAAACTATCAAATGATAGAACACGGTACAAAGTGCAAGGCAAATTGAGTTTTAGAAGCGTTTGTTGCGGTAATAAAATTTGAGCTATCGAGAAAATCAAGAGGTCAAACTTTTACCACATTTGTGGAAGGGTTGACATAAGAGGTAACTATCACGTATTTAAGAAGTCTATAGATATATTTCTTAAGACAAAAGGCTCTTTACTCACGTCTTCCTTCATCCGGTTGATGACCTGTACCGGGGCGTTGTCTAAGAAGAACTTCTTGGACAGTGTGAGGACCTCCGCCCCGTCACTGACCAGGATCAGACTGGGCTGGTTATCAAACACCAGGTCTACTAGGCCCTGCAGGACAACGTGTAGATTTAATACTCCGTAAAGAGTTTCATCAGCTTGGTACGGCCACAACAATGTAATTAGTTCTCGGATTCGCCCAGTTCATTCTTTTCTGATTTGCAAAAAAAAATTCAGGTTTTGAATCAACTCCAAAATGCTCATATTTTGTTCCAAATGGCCGAAGAAAGCTCTTAGTTGTACTGGTTTGATGAAAAGGTTAAAATTCATTGTTTGAATTATAAACAAACAGGCATGTTGACCTCAGGGCACCTATCATAGCTTTTGGGTGTATCAGAGGATGCCTACATCTTTTTTATTTTTTTTTCTCCCTGTTGCTTCATATTTTCTCTAAAAAATATCCGAGAACCAACAAATCAAATTGGTGTAGTCTAAGTCACTTAATAAAGAGACTTCTTTAGACCCAACCAAGTGTTTTATTCAGCCTAGACACTGAAATTGTGTGCAATATTGACTTAGTTGTGAAGTTAGTCAGTAATTACTTTTTCAGCACCAAGGACAGAGCCATGTTACGGTTTGTAAACTGGAATCAAAGCTCAACAAAGAGACTCTTTTTTTTACACAACAAAATTCAACCGGCATTTCGGTGACTGTCTGCCACCTTCCTCAGGGCAATTCTGACTGGTTCACATTGCACAGCACAGGTGTCGCTGCTACAGATGCGTCCGAAAAACGTAAAATATTTACATATCTACACGGTTAAAGGAAACCATATCTACGATGCGCTCCCAAACGTACAGACATAAATGTTGTCAAGTAAAGATTTTCCCTGAGGAAGGTGACAGACGGGCACCGAAACTTTGGCTGAATATACTTCTAAACAAATATCCAACTACCGAATATCAACATTGAAATTAGACTCAGCTAACCTGGCTCTAAAATCACAATTTACATAAATTTTGCATTGTAACGTGGAGTCGTTATACGTTTACTATGTATGTGATTCTCTGGAAACGTAGTAGAGCAAAAGCGATGAGAAGAATTTTCAGAACTTACAAATACTCCTCTCCTGTTTAAGGACTTGATCTTCACAAAGACTGGCTTGTCCTGAATTTGTGACGTCATGCTTTGGTCATCCGGAATCTGTAATCAACATATGAGTACACCAAACACGTGAATATTTCTTTAAGCTACCGTAAGCAGACACAAGATTCTGTCGCAACTTTTATTATCATAACTTGTATTGGTCGTGAAAGTATCACAATAAACAGCAATTTGTCAGACTGCTTTAGAAATGCCTCTAGCTTTCAAATAATTAATTTGATCCAATGCTAGTTCATCGATATCAAATTTGTCTTGTGGGGTGGTGTGGCGTAACGGCCTAGTGCTCGACGCAGAACCAGGAGGTCCCGGGTTCGGATCCTGTCATGTCACCGATCAGAACTTGATACCCAGAAGATGGAAAAGGAGCTTTACACGGCTTGCCTTACTCAGAAAAAAAATGAGTACTGGTATTGTCTAGTGAGCGGTCACCTAATATCTTGTCATTACAGTTGGAACAAAAAAATGTCGCAGAAACCTATACCTGTTCTTGTAAGATTATGCTTTCCGGCATCTTAGCCAAACACTGTCCTTAAAATTTTCCTCATTTCACTCAGGTGAAAATGCGTACTCTAGCGTTGGTGGAGGCATAGAAAATTTGTGTGCCGTCCGAATCTCCATGTCCTGTCATAACATGTTGGAACAAAAAAGATGTCGCTTGCAAAAAACTACATGTAAGACTGTTTCGATCTTAGAGACCACATGTTAGAGAATAGTTCAACCTTTATTGTTACCGCATAAATATATTCTGTACGTAAGATGACGTTATCCACACATGTATTTAGCCTTGTTAGATCTTTAGTTGTAGAGGACCATACAAAAGTCCCTGTACTTTTTTAGTGTCGATAAAGAATCTCTGCATACCTGTTCTTGTAAGATGATGCTTTCCAGCGACTTAAGAACGCTGTCCTTAGACTCCGGCGTCTCCTCCTTGGTGTCGATGTTGATTTCCGGTCTCTCCAACTGCCGGACCCGCCAGCTGCCCTTCCTCATCTCCGCCTTCCGCCGCTTGAAGTCTATGAACCTCTCCCGCAGGAAGTGGTGATGGTCCCTCTTCTTGTTCTTCTGTCCCAGCTCCTTCAGAACCTTGATTGTCATATCTGGGTGAACATGTAGTTGGTTTGTTGGTTTACTTGCTTATTGTTTTGTACTTACAAATAAAACGAAATATAACAATTGAGAAATAGATAGACATCATGCATGGAAGGGCCGAAAACCTGGTGGTTTATCTTAAATTACCATTATTACTAAAGGGTCAAAAACACAATCCGTTAATAATTTCATCAGGTTGGTAAGTCGCTGAAAAAGTATTTTTTACACAACTCAGAGGTTTATTCAGTCATTTCAGTGACCGTCTGTCACCTTCGTCAGGGCAATTCTTACTGGTTCAGTTCTGAGTGATAGTGCTATCTAGACGTGTCCTGGCCAAATCCTATGTACCTATTTTTGGCATCTCGTCTTTTGGCGGGGTGCTTTCCTTCGGTTCCACCATCTGTAACTTCTTCAGAACAGAGCAGCTTCCCTGTAGGAAACAAGTGTAGAGAATCAGTGATGATTGCAGGACAAGATATCCCATCGAAAAAGACTGCTTGAGAACATGATTTTGAAAACATCAAGAAGATATGAACGTACAAAGTGTGTTGCGTGCGTTCCATACTGTAAAAAGACTTGCATTGAAGGACAAATACACTAATTTCAGTTTTGATGCCTTTGAATCCAAAATCCTCCTTGCAAAGGGTGATCCATTGGTTTCTACCAGTCCCGCACATACTGGGGTGATATTTGACCCAAATCCATGTTCATGTTTGATGACTGCCTATTCCACTAGGAGAATGTGGTGACGTAGTGTGTCCACTTAATCTAATTAAATGGCTATATAATCACTACTCTGTTAACGTAAATTTCTTACCGACTTGATGACGTAGATCCAGTCTGAGTCAGTACTGTCCTTCACTAAGACTGTTCCCCGTCTGAGAAATAAGGAAATGATTTTTAAATTTGTTAAAGTATGAAATAATGTTTTTTTTAATATTGAGGCCACACGAATTTAATTTGTTGGTTCTCGGATTTTTTCAGAAAAAATATGAAGCGACAGGGCGAAAAATAAAAAAAATAAAAACAGGTCTAGGCATCCTATTATAGGCTTAAATGCTACAATATGAGCCATGAAGTCAACACAAAAGGCTGGGTTAAAATTTAAACATTGAATTTTGAACTTTTAATCAAACCACTGCAATGATAGATGGAAAAACTGCAACAACTAGGAAGAAAAGGACTTTCCACAACTGTTGGGGGCAAAACATGAGCATTTTTCAGTTGATTCAGGACCAGAATCAATTTTTTTTTTTTTGTCAAATCAGAAAAAAAAACGAAGAGGCGAATCCGAGAACCAACAAATTAAATTGGTGTGGCCTAACGAATGGTATTGAACAAGACATGAGTTAAGAAAGGATCTTTTAAATTGTAACAGCCAACGACAATGCTGTGCTTGGTGTGATATAGTGCTGTATAACTGTCATCCTACCTGATATAGCTGAATGTCATTTTCTTCGGAACTTTGTGCAACATCTGCAGAGGCCATCCTCTCATGAACCGCAGGCTCCTGTGAGGCAATGGTGAAAACGGAATTACTGCCGGAATTTGGAATTGTGATAGTAAAAGTCAGTATTAGTCTTGGTCAAGTTCAACATTTGACATTTTCATTATGCGTTGTGAATGCGCATCAAATTTGCCGTCACGTTAAAATACACACACAGAGACTTACCCTAGAAATGCAACTTGAGCCTGTTCCTGTTGAGTTAAACCCTTAGTCTTTGCAATCTTCTCAAAATCCTGTAAAGAAACCAGGATTATCTTTGACTTAATACACTAAACCTTAAATTTGAAAATATCCTATTCAATTCAACGATTGAACAGAAAAAAACACTCTGATTTATTCATTTTCAAGTTGCTATATTTCTTCCAGATCTGTACATGACTTATCACAACATCGAGGTTTTTTGTTAAATTCACTTACCCGTCGTTGTATATGGAGAAGTTCTATCGTCTTCTTAGCTATTATTGTACTGGTGTGAGTAGTGCCGTTCAGTATGGCCCTTTCCTGTTGGAAATAATACAGTGATCAGCTTTTTATGTTCACCTTCGCAGAAGGAAACATGTTGTTTTTATTTTGCTCTGTTTCTTCTTCTGTTGCAAACACATAAGGTCAATGACCTGAACCGGGCGTCTGTTATCATGGTAACTGGTGCTGTAGCAGGCACCCTATGGTGTTGGGTTACATTATGTAGCAAGTTATAGGACAGGAGTTGGACTTGTGTAATCATGTATATGAATGGGTTTGAGTAAGAATAAACAGAGCAGTAGTTTATTAGGCTAAACCATGTAAAGGTATATTAACATAATTTATGCATTCGCTTTGCAAACGTTACCTTTATAGTTAAAGAAGATTGGCTTGTTGAATCGAATTTGATTACTCACCCCAAAACAGTCGCCCATGTGTAGGAAGCCTGTCGTCCGATATCTTCCCGCCGACTCATCCCACTCACACTCCATCGCTTCAGAAAACACAACAAAAACGTTACTAAACTAGTTGTCATAAATTCTCATGCCTGAATAAGTTTTTCATACCATGTACAACAGTTATAAACGGTGCACATTACGTACACCATTTAAGTGCTCACGGCAACTTATTGTAGTTGACATAATTAGTATTACCTGGTTAACAGACGCGTTTACAATAAATATCTTGTGACATTCGAAATTTCAATGCCCCGCCTGGGAAAAGTCACCATAAGCAAGTCCCGGTAGACTATTTGCATCTCTACATTTTGAGGTGAGGTAAGGTGACATTTTATTTTTGCATTTCAGAATCTGTATTTTTTTCTGAGCTGACATCACTCCTGGTTCAAAAGGTACGTTTCTATGGATGTACTTGTACATGGACGTCCCGATTCAAAAGGTACGTTTCTATGTACTTGTACATGGATGTCCCGATTCAAAAGGTACGTTTCTGTGGATGCACTTGTACATGGACATCGTACCTTGCCCTGAGAGTATGAAGTACACCGCCTCTGGTCTGTGGTTCTCCATCACGATGACCCTGCCACGTCCAAAACTGGTCCAGAAGGAAAAAAAAATTGCGGAAAAAGTTTCACAAATGACATCTACACAAATTACCTATTGCCAAATGCAGACAATCGTTGTCACTCAGTAGCCTGTAACAGGCTTCGGAAAGCGGCTGGAAATATGCCAGCAGGGAAGTTTGTCCGCCGAAGAGTACAGTTTGCGCTTCCGAGCGAACCAAGTCCCGTGGCATGTTTAATCTGTCTATTTGGCCAATTTCTGCTCTTTCCAGCCGCTTCCCGAAGCCTGGTAGAGGCTTTTTATTTATTTATTTATTTATGACGATTTACCACATTTGTGGAAGGATTGACATAACAGGTGACTATCACCTTTTCAAAGATGTCAAGCCTGAGACCAGACTGTAATGTTTGAACCACTCACACCGGGAAGGTCCCCTACTCTTTTCGATAAGTGTGGTGGGTTCTTTAACGTGAGTGGGGTGTGGCTCTCCCAAACACGGGACCTCCTGAGTGAAGTGAGGAAAGTTGTGTAAAGTACCTTTCCCATGGGTACAACGTCGCGGCGCATGTTCGGACTTGTTTGGGTACGACTCGGAATCGAACCCGGGTCTCCCCATTTCATAGTCCAGTGATGTACCACTACATCACACGACACCACATGGCTATTTACAATGTGCAAACATCTCTCTGAGACCTCTCGTAGCATGAACTGGCAAAGATTATGATAATCATTTACGTACCTTTCCTGACATGCTGGATAAACTTTCTAAACGGGAATTAATTTGCGGCTCCAAACGTCTCACTGACAGACGGCTTTGGTGCGAGAATGTCGGATAGCCTAAGGAATAGATCCACTCTACTTTATACATCATACGTTAAACGTACCATTGATAGAAGCCAGCTTCCGTCAGTTTCCTCTGGGCCTCCAGCGGGTACTCAGCAATGGTCGTCCTGATGATGGAGTTTACCGCAATACTGGCCTAAACAAAACATCACGTTACCGTGAAATGTAGGAACACCACATTATCACTGTAGACTTTCAGGCTCATTTTGATGTCAAAGCATTATAAACGACTTTATAGTAAAATATTGAAATTTATTCCAACACAAGGTTTCACAAAGATCAATTTCTTGTTCAACTAACACTGTCGTCTTCATCAGGATAATTAATGACCAATCACTTCAAAACACCATCTCGCGAGAGTTACGGTTACAGACACGTGACGTTATTCACACGATACGTGACGTAAGCAACTGATCAAAAGTGCCAGGAAGTTTATATCGTCCACCGTCTCAGTTAAGTGATGGCTGGACATTGTTAATGTGTAATACGTAATATCAGCGAGCAATGGTTATATTGAGTGGAAACCCCAAGCCACTTGGAGAATAACTGTGTCAGTGACCATCCATGGGATTATCCTGGAGATCAGTAAAGAAAGTGGCCAAGGACAGATCAAGATGAAAAGAAAAAGTCATGGCCTATGTCTCGCAAGCGCGCAAGGGTGGAAGAGGATAAATGTCGTACGTACATGTTTGGTTTCCTCCGGTGTTCTGTGGCTGGGCTCAATCGACAGGATCTCTCTGGTCTTGCGCGACACACGGACATCCTGGAACATACAATATTTGTATATCAACAATCATTCTGGTATACGTCAGGGGAACCCTACGGGCTGGTTACCAAAGCTATTTTCTCTGCCGAATGTTAAGCCCTCTCGGCAAGTAGGGAGAGAGAGAGGACGAAAGAGATTTTCTGAATATACTTCTGTAGAAATTTATCATTTCTGATGTCTCAGAAACCCTACTCACGAGTCATGAAACTTCTGGCTAACATTGTTCAATGTAATAGTGTGATGTTAAAGGCGCAATTTACTCTATGAAAATTACCAATTGATAATTCAGGCTAACATTTTATATTGTAATATTGTTGGATAAGGTTATTGATTGATGTTTAATTTGTAAAATTTACTTTTACTAAAATTTACTTTTTATTTACGTTTACTAGTATTGTATTACCATTATTGTTATAAGGTGGCAAATGTTAGAAAGCCATTTTTTAACGTACATGCTGTTAGAAGTGATAATAGTAGTTGTAATGTATGTATTATGTAACAAGACTCCAGAAAGAGTAGTGATTGTATCGTTACTAACTAACAAACTCGGCAGCTAGAATAGGTTTGGTATGTGCATTGTATATGATGATGATGATGATGATGTACATTGTAACCAGGCCTGTGGACCTAACCCTGCAAATTGAAAATCATAAGCAAATTTGATGTAACCAGTATTGTTCTGGTTACAGAGAGTTTGCCCTCTTTAGAGTTTGCATGATTGACGTTGTCACTCACCTGTTTGTTGGCCTTGAACGCGGTGACGTCAAACATCGGTTCGTTTTTCCTCTCGTCTTTCTTCAGACTGGCGGCATTTCCCGGCGCCGGTCTCCGTATTACACCCTGTTCATCAGCTCTGGAGAGGGAATTAGACGATAACATTTCCTATGGTTTGTATGACTAAAAGCAGTTTTTTTTTTACTTGGAACCCATTCATTGATTGTCGTTCATAATAATTTGAACGTTATGACTTGAAACATGCAATGAGCAACACATAGTAAATGATAACTTTACGTCCAAAAACAAATTGCAAAAGTCTCAACAACATTATAATAACAAGTCGAACTTATTTAAGAACAGACGTAGAAATTTGACTTTTCCCACTTGTTTGTGTGATTTCTACCCTCTATTAGAAATTATAAATCCTAATTTACAGAAATATGATATTTATATTGGCATTCTACGACATAAGCTGTCGCTTTCCACTATTTTTTGCTCATATTACGGATGCTCTGTACGATTTACAGTATGGTTTTCATCGGTGAAAAACATACCAGGCAGTTACACTCAGTACATAGAAACCAGACCCCTGAAGGCTATCACATATTATTCACCAATGTTTATTAGAAACTGGTGTTTCTTCGTTTTTTGGGGGGGCGGGGGTCTAATCGCACACGCTTTAACAATATAGAAATCTGGCTTCCCTAGTCATACATGTACATAGTGTGTGCGATCTACGTGCAATCGCCCCCCCCCCTAAAAAAACAACGCCGACCCGAAACTCCCGCAAAGGAGGTTAAATACTAGTAGCCGCCCAGATGTGAGAACGTCCTTGGCATTCTCATTGCAAATCCACGACAATAATCAGTGCCTTGTCTCTGAAAGACGGGTTGATTTAGTAGTCGTTTACCGGTGCACCTGTTCACTTCGTAATGCTCGTATTTGCCAGCCATAAATCTAACCACATGCCACAGTATTTACACCAAGCAATTAGTAGCACTAAACGTTTTCTTTCCCAAAAGGTGCTATTAAGATTCCGTCACGTACTTCATTACTTTACAGTCCGGATATTTGGTTATTCTGTAGTTTGGTCAGCTATGATTAAACCTCCTTGTTGAGGCGGACTGTTTTTACGATATGTTTGCGTTAGCAGAAGGGTTTGTTTAAAGGAGGAAACGTTATCTTGGCGGTGGTTGTTGGGCAGACATTGTACCCCTGTCGCCGGGCGTCGCTAGTTGTTGACACGGCGGTCTACACAAACAGTGTTTTCATCAGTTAGGACAAGATGATAGCGGAGCTTTTCAGAACCGTGGCCTATTTTGGGATAAATATAGCCCATTTGTTCCTTGCGCGTGCCAGACGAACTGTGTTGCATAACCCTGATGATTTCTCGCGTAATATAACCTCAAGTGGACTGTTTTTATGTTTTCTGTGTTCAGATTAGGTGTTCTTTATTATTTGATGTTCGGCTCATGAAGGCAGGTGACAAATAAATCGTGTCCTGTGTGCGGGTACGCCATACAGGAGTTGTAATGAGGCTTGAAGCGTCCCTCTTTAGAATTTCACTCAGGCCAGAGAAAGCGGGTAAACCGTGGACTGTGGAAAATTATCCCGCATACCCTGTGTGAACATACCGAAACAGACGCTCGTCTTGCCACGGTGACACTGTTCTGAAAACGTAGCCTCTACCAGGCACCGCAGATCGCTGGAAAAATAGTAGAAATTGGCCGAAATAAAGGAATGATATACCAGGGGAGCTAGCCGACCAGAGAAGATCCAATTCGCGACCCACGGGTCGGCTACCTCCCCTGGTACATTATTCCTTTATTTCGGCCGATTTCTACTATTTTGTACTTTTAAAAAGCAGACGACGAGGTACATTTTACTGCAGATTGCCCTTTGTATGATAGCGAATTAAAAAGAAGCATTCTTTTCTATTATAATTTCAGATCTGCCAATTTTCTTAAAGCAGAAGCTAAAGACGAGGTACGTTTTACTGTAGATTGCCTTTTGTATGATAGCGAAAAGAAGCATTTTTTTCGATTATAATTTTAGGTATTTGAATAGTATAGAGAAACTTATATTCCTTGCAGCATTCGATAAACCAACTCTAACTAACCATACAGCCACCTACATTTATTCAGTTACCAAGAAGCAAGAAGACGTGGAAAGTACTTGCCAAGTATTTTATATATACATCTATATGAATGTCTCCTCGACGCATAACACACAGCCTTTACATTCTTGCTCTCTCCCAGACTTGTCTTGTGATTTGATTGGAATAGTTTCCAGTAGAACATCACTAGGGTGACCGGGATGGCTTCTGACTCGTTCTTGTTGGCTTTGTTAGCTTGAGTGATGTCGGGCTCGCCCTGCACTTGACAGCGGCGCAAATATCATCGGCAAATAGCTTCACCAGAGGTAACCGTTCATGATGAGAGACGAGAAAATAATTAGTCCGCACTTTGTTCTTAAATCCCTTTCCCTCGAACGTTTTTGCGGACGTTGACTTGTAAACAATTAGCATGCTTTCCGTGTACAGTAATTCCAGTTCCACATCGCTCAGTAGTGGTAGAACACATACCACAACATGATAGACTGTAAACAAACCACACTTCACACACGCCTCCCGACAAAACGTTTTGAATTTCAACTCTAACCGTCGGCCGGTCGTGGCATGCTAACAGTTTTCGCAAACCTTGAAATTTCACGTGATTTCACAAAAGCTATTAAGCCCTTTTTTCTTCTTTACACAGTGTGAACGTGAGTTCAGATTTGAGATGACCTGACTACAAAGGGTTTTTGTTCAAACAAAGCTCAGATCTTGATAGAGTGTTGGACAAAATGTTTGTAATTTGCTAACAGTTGAATTTTCACGTGATTTCACAAAAACTATTTAGCCTTTTTTCCTTCTTTACACAGTGTGAACGTGAGTTCAGATTTGAGATGACCTGAGTACAAAGGGTTTTTGTTCAAACAAAGCTCGGAGTCTTGACAGAGTCAGGACCGGGACCGGCACGGGTCATACGTTGCCAGGTAGAGTGTCGCTGGCGGGGAGGGGAAAGTATGTGGAGCCCCCTCGGTTCGAGTTTACTCGGTCACAGTAATGGCGTTCTATCAGCAGCTGGTTCTATTGTGGGGGAGCCGTTTTTTTTTTCTCGGTGGGGGATGTGTACACCTGAGCAGATTAGTTTAAACAAGGAAACCGCGGTAGCGTCATATCCCTTGCGATGTAAATATGTAGGGACTCTAATGTTTATGTACAGAATATAACATCATCATGACACAGTCGTGCAAAGTGACAACTCAAGTTGGTGTTCCCTGTAAACTTAAGATTTTAACAGAGAAGGAAAAGATTGTAGTTTAAACGTTCTTCGCTTGACTATTCAGATATCTGCGAATGGTGTTTTTGTGACAAAAACTATCATTCAAAATGTACAGTATTTGGGCTATGCGGCATTCGTAAGCTTTTCCATGCCTAACACACTGTATCGTATGGCTTCTCCAGGTATAGAAGCAGGCTTGCTGTACACACTAACCGCATTAGAGAGAGGAATTGTCCGGTGTTTTGCTGGAAAATAAGCTCCAATAATCCTATCATTCAAGTTCAGCGACAACAAAGTCTTATATCGTGAAAAAGAAGGAAATGACATTAGCCTGGTTCAAAGCACGTTTCCACCGACACAAAAAAAAACATCCCCATGATTACACTTACAATATCAACAATTCATGGGCGGATTTGAAGAGTTTGTTCTATGTAAGCCCTGCTCGTAGGCTGACTGGCAACCTTGTGTTGTCTTTTGCTTGGAAATAATCTCTGTAAACAGCCACTTGGTACATGGCAGTACCCGAGTACTTAAAAGCGTTTGGGACCAAAACTGTGTCTTATCAAACAAAAGCGCATTAGACTTTCAGATAAAGACACAACATCGACGTTTTCGAGTATAGAGCAAATATGGACTATGTGATAGCGGCTATGATCTGAGAACTGACCCTGTGACATTGTTCAATAGAAATTTATAATTGGAACGTACACCGATAAATTTATAGTCTGTGAGTCTAATTTTAACTTATCTGAAACGGCACTGATTTTTTTATCGAGCACGTAGAATATTAACTTTAAAGCAACAGCTTTCAAGCTTTATCTCTTACGTTTAGAATATGTTTTATATTTTTTTTTACCAAGGCACTACCTGGAATGATGTTAACCATTGGAGACAAACAGAGAGGGAGTAAATGTATGGAAATGACAGATATCATCAAGACCAGACTTACACAAGAAAGTGATCCAGATGCAGGCGATGCAGCAACATAATTAGCCTTCCCACCCTGCAGAATTTTTCGAGATGTATTTTCTGTATGAGAAAGACGAAGGAAGAAAAAAACACAACAACTGCTAAACATGACAACGTTACAAAGAATTGTTACATCTAAGAAGAATGATAGCAAAGATATGAATTCATAAATTTTCTACATTATTACTCTACGTATATATTCGTGAGTAGAAACGGTTGGGGTTGTGGAACGGGGTAGAAAAAGGTTCATTTGTCACGAAACTTCGACAGGTAATTTGTGGTAGGTCGATTCAGAGCACGGTAGTATGTTTGCCCCCAACATACCAACCCTGACGACATCCCACTCATACTCACACAAACTACCAACTGCAAAATGAACGTCAAACATTCCCGGCACAAAAGCGCAATGTTTATAGTACAACTACTGTTTGTGTCCACACCTTGTCGCTTACTCATACCTAAAACACTGGAGAAGTAACACTGCAGAAATCGGTAGCAAAAATATGTGACATTTGGAAATAAAACTTACCTCAGGTAGTGAAGGTAGAGGTTTTGAAACGCGAGGAAGTCCTTTGCTCTTTTTGCTACTTTTGGAAGAGTACTTGGACTGGTGGAGTTTAAGGATTTGAGGTCCAGTAGTTGTCGTTTGTTTCTGACTAGTCTGATGCAGTTTCGGAGTTTGAACTTGATGTAGTTTCGGTAAATAGTCGGTCTGGCTTGATCTCAATCCTTCCTTGGAGCTGACGACGTGCACTTTGGTTCTTTTTTCCTCAATTTTCGGCAGCATGGTCCAGTTTTTCCGGTCCAGTTCCGTGTGTTTGGAGTCCCTACTGTCGTGTTGGATTCCCGATACAGCGGCTAGCTCTGCCTGTTTCTTCCGGCGGCGAATCCGAGACTGCCCCATGAGTTCCAGCGCTGCCAGAGCGCTCTCTTTCCGTCTTTCTGTGTCCAACGCATCCACCTTGGACGAAATACTGAATCTGGGGCCAGTCGAAGACATTTTGGGCCCTCCTTGTTTACCGTACCCGAGGTAGACTCCTGTGGTGCTCATCCCTGCTGACCTGAAACCATCTCTGGTTCGTACGTAGGTACCGGACGGTTTTATCTGTCACCCCACGCGGCGCCCTGGGCCGTCCCCGGTATTGTCAAGCACCTGTGGGCACAGAAAGGACGATGTTAACGTATACGGCCGATAACCTTACAAGTGGCACGGCTCTCCGGTGGCATAAGGTCCCGGGAACAATGACCAGCGATGTCGGGCGCTCCCCACAATGGCGACCGTGGACTCCCGTCAACCTTCCCCGTTGCCAATGGCTACCGGGACGCCATGTTCTCGTGTTGACACATGGGAAGACTCACGTTCTTACGGCCGGGAAAGTTTAATTAAAACGGCATCAGCAGCCATCAAGCATGTGTGCGCCCTTGTGTCGATTAGCACACATGTTTGTACAGTGCGTGTCCGCTATCGTTTACACACCACTAATATCTCCTTAATCTGGCTACAGGCGGCCGGCAGGTGCCTACAGGTGGACACAAGGTGACAGGTATCATGTTAAAACATATCGTTTTATCTCATCTAACTTACGTCACTGAAATAAAAGTTTAAGTTTCTACATTTGTGGGAGCGGTAAGAGATATTTGTGGAGTTTCTTCAGCACAAAAATGAGTACATATTTTGTACCAATTTCTCTTCCGAAAGTTTCTTTGTTGCTATAAATTGTGTTTGTCATTTTCTTCCTCAGGTGACTGGGAGTTTTTTCAGTCCATTTTGTTTCCGACAAGATTCAGGCAATCTGCTTTGGTAGAAGTAGAAGATAGTTGTTGCAGTCTCCAAGAAGCCGCTGCATATGTTGTAGATACGCGGTTTGTTAACGTTGGCAACCTCTTTTTTCACCAGTGACATGATAAATGATGTTATGTTATGATCTTATCTATGGAAAGGCGAAAACGTATGAAAGAAAATGTCCACTCATCTATCAAATACTGTCATAAGACGCCAACCCTAAAATTTTGTCTTACTACAACATGAAACAATTAAGAGAAGTCACAGAGGCTCTTTATTCTCTACAGTTTTAAACGCGCACGTAGTCAGGACACAACAAAGTAGGGTAAGATTAATACGTCAGTAACCTAGCGGGCACACTTGATCGTTACTGGGTGTCACCCATGTTCCCATTTTTGCGAGTAATGACTGTTGCGCGGTACCAGTATCTATCTAACCAAACATAAACCGCCCATTGCAAGGCGAAAACAAACAGACCGGTGGCATATTGCTCTGGCCTTGGGGGGAAAACAGATCAATTAGGTGAAAAGTGAAGTTTAATCAGTATCTACAATCTGTGAACACGACGTAATTTGTCTTAGTTAATTGCTGTTTGAAGTCAACGTTATGGGCGTTTCAGTTTGAAGTGTTTTTCGGGTAAAGGCACCTCCAAGTAGCCTGGGTACCACCCGGATTTAAAAAAAAAAAATTTCGAGCGTGGCGGAGCGAAAATCCGGATGGTACCCGGGCTACCTCCAAGTAGATGTTGGAAAGGGGTGTCGGCCACCGTGTCAAAGAACTTGAAATAAGATTTCTTTTCACAAATTACTATGTGTGCACTTTTATTGGTGGTAGCCGATTTAGCATGAACTTTTCACCTACATCTGTTTACCACAACGTACAGTTACATCTAAGTAGGACAATTTCTTATGGCAAGTATTTCTGTGACAGCTCAATAACTACAATTTTATGTAAATGTTTACACTTTCCATATGTGTGCAAACTATTATTTTCATTATAAATGTATGTATATTTCATATGTCAATATAGAATATCTTGATGGAAACTTAAAGCATTTCTCACTTGTTGATTTCGGTCCGGCTAGTGTAAGGTTCCTCTCTATAGAGACCACCTGTCTATAGCGGCCAAATTGCTTAAGTCCCTTCAGTGGTCTGTATAGACAGGTTTGAGTGAATTCTTGTTTATTATGGATATGAATAATACACATATTCACAGACATATGCACACACACACAGCTCGGATATGATGAATTCTCTATGGTATACTGGTAAGATCATGGGCTGATTTTTTAGGTACCACCCAGAAATTAAAGCACCTATCTTGTGGCCTGTATCTGAGCTGCTTGAAATACACAGAGTATGAAATACTGATGCCATGTGCTAATGTGAAGCAGTATGTGTTAATATCATATAGAAATTCGTAATTCAGCAAAGGTAACTGCCTGGAATTTCATACTAGGGTATTTGAAAGTTAAGTGAAGGTGAACATCATTTAGCATGACTTATGGCTTTCTTTGTTAATACTATCTTTTGGAGGAGAATGTGATCAACTGATATGATTCATGGAAATGAGGATCCTATTTGCACAATCAGGGGGAATAATCTATAATTTGTCAGTCATAAAGATTAACATCATTTGGCGAAGGTATGAGATCGTGGAACTCTAGTTCCGAATATTTCCAATTTCGCCCTCCTGAAATTGCATTGGAGGCTTTAAAAAACACAACATGCACAGTTAAAGTACCGTTTGGCTTTCCCCCACCCTATAACTGTGGCGTGAAATGATTCATCACCACCCCATGCCGTCTTCTCCCCTGTCATCGCCCACAAACAATCTCTGCGCTCTATTTGATAAATGCAGCGCCAGCTCTATACCAGTTCATTTGAAGTGGCAGCAAGCAATGCGCCCTGCCTCGCCGCTACGTAAACTGTTTTGTACGGTAATGGCCATTCCGTGTAGCCGGGTGTTAAGTGGAGGGCAGGGTTTCCGTAACGGTGCTTTCAGGTCCCATAGAGGTTAACTTTTGCAGGACGAAATCGGGCGCCCGGGTTTAGATAGCTGGTCACAGACGCTTTGGAAAGGACGTCATTGCAGTGAGGGATTTTACCGGAGTTGTGTACCGTTGTCGAATACATTAGGCCACAGCTAGTAAATTTTATGGATGACATCCTTCGCAGACTCCAAAATTAATAGGGCGAAAGAAAAACAAGCCGGGCAAAAAAAACAAGATTATTACATTTTCAATTTTTTACAACAAATGTAGGTAACAAAACATGATATCTTTATTCCTGTATTCCTGTCCTTGAAGATATGTATACATATCAATTAATTAGAATATAAAAGTGACCAATTATTTGAGTTACACATCGTCATCACACTCATGCCACCCGACCAGCTATTACCGACTTACCAGCTATAGCCTAGGCCAGCTTTAAAAAAAGCATTTCTTGAATGAATAAAGAGACTCTTTACACAACCAAGTAATCGGCCGACGTTTCGGTGACCGTCTGTCACCTTCCTCAGGGCAATTCTGACTGACGGTCACCGAAACGTCGTCTGAATTAAACACTTGATTGTGCAAAAATAGTCTCTTTACTCGGTGACTTACCAACTTGATGAAACTATTTACGGACGAAAAGCGTTTCTCGTTTTATCAAGAAAACGACAGAACTACAGGTTTCAATAGAAAGAAATAGACCACTTCCGAGTAGTAAGATTTTCACACATCCATTTTATTCCCCACAAAAATGCTTGATATAACATCTACCACGTCGAGCAACAATAGGGATATCACAGCAGCATGACACAAGAAATAACACTGTTTGCTACATAACATAACACTGTTGTCAAACCACACAACCAAAAGACTTAGTACGTACAAGTCACCGTACTGAACAAGAATTATATATACACCAATTATATATACACGTATACGCGTACACAACGATAGCAATTCGTAGGTATAGCCCTTTTTGATAATCCATGCACTGACTGTGAGCAGTCTCGTAATGCAGGCGTCAAATATGGACTACCTTTTTTGTTGTTGTAGATATGTACTTTTGTCCTATAAACCAGTCTACTATATTACTACTGTTAAAGGTTTTATAATTGACTACTAGTATTTTGGCCCAGGTACAAAAGTTAAACCAATGGATTGAATAAGTCATAAAGGACTAAGAAATAGATGGATCCCCTACTAAAACACAGGTACTGTTTGTATCTAAATTTTCGCTGAGGCTGAATTTACATACTTAAATATGGTATGATATGATCTAGCACCCACTAGCTATTGACCATGTATATTGTGTATCGTTAACAAAATATCATACTCGTATCATACGTATACAGGCACCGCATATGTAGATCTCACTGTCACTTTCCGCTTGTCATCTAATTATACTCACAATTGACAAAATAAACCCATACATACATACACACATACATACATACATACATACATACATACATACATACATACATAGGTACATACATATAAAACTTATGTACAATATAATCTCAGTTTGGCAACTGCAAGTGTGACTTTGTTTAAATGTCACATCCAAAACCAGATACTAACAACAGATCACCTACCCATGTTATAAGGTCATAGGTGTAGCATAAAACTACTAAGTAAAAACTACATAAAAACAGACGAGAATGATGAGTGTAGATAGCAGCATTTGATATCGTAAAACAGAAAATAACGAAAATATAAACAAATTTGAAACGGAAGGAAACAAACATATCATAGCAGCAAATGCAGTCAAACAAGGATGTCACTCCAACCAGTGTAGTTTGCTTATAGAACACACAGAGTTTTCATTGGTTCATGTAACGTTACATCACACTAGCTTGGTAACCAGGCCTTGTTCAGCTCTGGTCCCCTTTCAAGGGTCTCTCCCTAAGCTAGAACAAGGCAAGGCTGGGTACCAGGTTAACACATTATGTCTACGTGCTTGTTGGTCATATACACCTTTCGATGAAAACCTTGAGGGGGATACACGGGCATACTTGGGGGGGGGGGGTTAACCCTTGATTGCTGGACCAATGAACACTATTGCATAGTCAGTGAGTTTAAAACAAGGATGGACCCAGTGTTTCTGTATGTTGTAACAAAACTACAGATCTGTGCAAAATGTTGTTAGCAGTTAAGATAACCCCCAAGCCATGCCCCTGTAAACCACCCCCTGGTTTACGTTGATCAGTGCATCATCTCTACCCATAAGATTGCTCTATGTCCTCGGTCCATTGCCCAACCCGAGCACCGTGCCCTTTGACCCCATGCCGTATCTCCCATCTGAAAAAAGATAAATGACGAGTATCATCAATTAGTCCACCAATCCATCATTCTTAATTGATTATTATCAAGGAAACTTCGGACTTTGGGTCACTCCTGAAATTTATCATTCCTGCTGGCATACTGTCCCGAATAACGGATCGTAACCCTAGGCCATGTTGATTTGATTATATGGATGACATCCACACGCATGAATTTTCGTCGGTTTAAAAAAAACTGTCGGTTCAACAATACTGTCAATCGTACAAAGCATCTGCAAAATGAGCAAATATATGCCGTAAATTTTAACAACTGGAAAACGATACTAATGTCCTAGAATTCCAAAGGAAAAGAAGAAAATGAAGAGTCTATTGATACTTTTCGTCATGTGTGTTTAGTCATTTGTTCAACCTTCATGACCACGTAGATTTCATAATGAAGGCAACTTTTTTGTCAAACATTTTATTCGCACGCTCGCATCAGTTTTGGGGTTCCCAGAGGATGTCATCCATATAATCAAATAAACATGGCCTTACCTGTATTGCAAAGGGAATGGTAGATACTACGTTGCTATGGTGGTACATGTAGTTTCGTTATCAGGTGAAGTCACCCCATGCAATCATTTAACGTTTCCATGCAAATAGCCAGTAGAAATAGTATTTGAACAGAATTCAATTTCAAGCAGAATTATCCGTGGACTGCACATAGATTGAAAGCAAGTCATTTCACAAGCAAAAGAAGACAGAAGTTGTCTAATAATAAATACTGAGAGGTGAATCAACTAATCCATTATCATATATTACTCGCCTAGTCTACGTTTAGTTACAATCGACAGGTGTTTTCCTTGTTGTGCGTATCAAAAACATGCAATTTGTGCAATTGTTCTGTGAATTCTGTGTATATAGAAGTCTGTCGTTTGATCTCTATGACAACAAGGACGACCACACCCATATCTACCACTGACAGGACCATCCCATCAAAAAACAAGAAAAGGGGCGGCCAGAAAATTTTTGTCCCTTTTGTACGCTTTATACACTGCTTGCCTTTTAGTATAATATGCCTTTGAGGGACTAAAAACCTGGCTGCCCCCTGTCAACTTTCTGATGGCATGGCCCTTGGTGTCATGTAGTACCTAGATATACTTGTCCATGAGGGTGAAGGAGTAACAATTGCCACTCCCTCTGTATTTAAACCTCTTCAGTGTATCCTTGCCCCACATCTCGGAATAGTCAACCTTACACTTTGTGGGCTTGGGCCTGTCCAGTTGCCAGTACTTGAAGCCCTCCCGCGCCCTCTCGTTGTAGGTGTTGCGGTGGAGAGCCCATCGGGACGCCGGGCTGGACTTGGCGCGCTCCTGCTGCTGCTGACGGGCGAAGTACTCCCCGGGGATGTTCCCGTGAAGCTCCTGGACGATCAGGCCGCTGAAGTCCCGAGGAGGTAGTCTGGAGACTTTTCCCTCGCGGTAGTGGAAGTTGCCGTGGTGGTGCGGGTTTTCTGCCATTGTAAGTGCTGCAAGGAGGTAAGTACACGGTCAGAACGTACTCTTAGTTACCTCAGTAGACCGGTCAGTAGTAACAGGTGATAGCCTGGGTACCATCCGGATTTTCGCTCCGCAACGCTCGAAAAAATCCATCCGGATTTTCGCTCCGCAACGCTCGAAAGAAAATTTTTTTCGAGCATTGCGGAGCGAAAATCCGGATGGTACCCAGCTAAACAGGTAAGGGAGTACATGTATACACTTTAGCAGTAGTCCTAATCTCCAAGCAGATACTGTGGGGCAAGGGGAGTCATTTTAGCCACCTGTAACCATTGTCGTATATTCTCCTATCACATCGTTCGGTGGCTACAAACTTTACAAAGACAGTATCAAATTGGCCAGGCTTTATCACTTGCCACCCGAGTTAGGCTGGCGTACAAAAAGTTACCAATACAAAAAAGTAAAAAGGAAAAAAAATGAAAGATAAAAATGCCCAAAAATAAGACCTAAACTTCTGCTTGGAGAGTAACAGTTGGCCAATATAGACATTATAGCCCATTTGCCTTACAGAATCTGCTTGGAGATTACAGTAGCCATAGATCCAGATTTGGTTTGCAAGGAGAGATGTCAAGAGTAAAGACGCTTCCTGTTTTTAAATTGGCTACAGTAAAATAAGAAGAGATAGAAAAATAGACAGGAGCCAAGAGTTGTTTTAAACTATGTTCTATTTTTGTAACAGAAAAAAGGATGTGCCAAGTTACCCACGACAGGTTACTGTCCAAGTGCTCCCACCAACCCACTCCTGCCAACTTGACACATCAGAATAAAGACAGGTGGTTAAAACCCGCAAGGGAATCTCCCC